GAGTTGAGAACTATGAGCTATAAATAAAGGATTGTCATCTTATTTGAGTCTCCCCTAAATGAGTAGTGCTAAAATAGCGCAAAATAGTACTACAGTAGTGCAAAATAGCGAAAATTAGAGGACCACATTTGCGGTAGTGCTATAGTAGTATCATGTTGGCACTACATGGCACTATAGAAAAAGCGATAGTGAAGAGTAGTTATAACTAGTATCAAGTATACTAATTAGTGCTTAGTTGCACTACTGAAGAAGTGCGTCTGAATAGTAGCTCTAATGTAGATGTCATCTCTGCTAACACTTGCTAATATAGATGAGATTATCTGAATAGTGATAATTAGTGTCAATTCGCAAAGGCTGTTTTTCCAGATGTTCCCTCAGGACCCTATCTCCATGGAGACGTTGGCAGACCTAGGTACTGGCGAGAGAAGCCTATCGTGAAGCCGGGTACGTCGTACACCCCCAGTTATGCTGATTTTTCGTGCTCACTGCTTGTGCTAGCGTTACCTTTACCTACTCATCTGCGCCGCTCATTCATCACGACTGTCACGAACCCCTACTATGATGTACCTCGACTACGTTTGTGATTATCCTTCTGTGCGAGGCGGTCCATGTGCCACCAGCGAACACCTTGCAAGAGTTGCACTTCCAGATACCAACAGCCTGTTGGTTTGTGGAGCTCGAACGGGTTCCGAGATACGATACATGCGCTCTAATCATACAGGTTTCAGCCCAACAAGAAACTTTGCTCCGTGATTCACGTTGCCAAGAGGTCACCGGTGCCGTCATCCGCAGGTGTCGCATTCTCTCCAAACCCAGCAGGATCGGGATGCTTCAGCCAGTCGCCTAGGTACCTGCCATCAGTCTCTTGCATCCTGTTGTACCACTCGATATTGACCCCAAAGTTGAAGGGTGCGTAGCCGGGGATCTTGTCGCTAGACCGCCCCGTGTCGCGGACACGTTCAACAGTCATCCGGAGCGATTTGAGGGGCAGGGAGCCCTTGTATATCTCCGACAGCTCCCGGTATATTTTCGTCAGCTGTAATACAATTGTGAGTACCGATCCACATTCATTGTAAAAGCTGGCACACCTCATTAGATCGCCAGTTTGGCCTGATCACCTCAAAAAAACTCATCTTCGCCAGCTGTGGATCAGATTTACCTGTGATTCCAGCCTTCTCAGCCATCTGCCGTCGCCATTCTGTAACGGCAGCTTCGTCTCCATCGTCCTCTGGGCCGCTTGCTTTGTCGGACATTAAGTCCACCGTAACGAGTTCTCCTGGGTCAACACCATGTAATTCCAGGTACCTGGGCACAACACTATAGAGGTTGTCGCTTTTCTGGAAGGCGTCATGCAGTACACATCATAGCTCGTTCACATGACAATGGTAAGCACCTTATTGCGCCGATTTTGCCATCGAGATGCACGCTCATTTTTTTTGCGCTGCATCGCTTTTTCATGGTCAACCTGGCTATTGTATGCTGTTCGGAATCCACGAAAGGTGGTCTTGGCGCACTCGTGCAGTAGGGAATACGTCAGTTTGACGTTCGGGGCATTCATCCATGTCGCATGGATGGCAGAATGGTTCTGGTGAGTCATGGAAACAGATGTCGAGTAAAGTTTGAAAGTGCGTTGCCAAGCCGCAAAAATAGGTTAGTCTCTCACACTAGTAGCGCACAATTGTTATACTGATCACATACCTTTAACTGTTGCATGGAGACTTCGGCAACCCGGACGAGTAGGTCAGGGTTGACAGACTCATCAACTCGCGCCTCAAAATTGACCGCCATCCCTGGCATCTGTTCCCCCCACTTCGGCCATTTATCCTGTTTGCTGACACCCGTAACTAGGCGGAACTGCTGTCCTACAACGTTCTGCAATGTCGCACGAAGGTGAGTATGTGTCGCTAACCTCTGTGTACTAACATTGCCTAGAAGAACTGGCTTAGATGCGCACACATGTCTGTTCCTGCCGCCCTGATGGCTATCACCCAGTTCTCTCGTACGCGTTTCAAGGAAGGTCTGCGGACATCTATGTCCTGACAGACCATGTCCAGCCGACGCTTCAGACACGGTGGGGCAGATTCGCACCAGCAGGAACAGGTATGTTTGTCCCGCTTCTGGCGGGAGTATCCAGACATGCGGTCAACAAGTGGGGGATGCATACAGTGGCAGATCTGCCCACGAGGCAGTGCAAACAAGAGGAACACGGTTTGTGTGACGAGGGAGGAGTCTACTTACCGATATAACCCGCCGTGCCTGACGCTGCACGAGATCCAGGGCTCCATATTTTGTCTTCAACAGGACGAGCGGATCAGATTCGTCCTTCACAGCTGATGGGTCTGGCGCATATGGTGCGTCGTCCACTTCATTGTTCTCCATGGCAGCATTCCGGCCAGTGTTACGATGGGCAAGGCCGCCACGTGCCGCATAGAGCGGGTTTCGGTGGCCGCGTGCGAGGGTGGTGCGCGCCAAGTGGACAGGGTGCGTTGTTTCTAATTCAATATCCTCATCTAGAAGCTGAGGGTCGATGGTCGGACTGTCTGATGCAGGCTGAGATCGTCCAGTGTCCGACGGATGGTCACGGCATCCATCGGAACTGCACTTCAGTTGAGTATATGCGCACAAATAATATCTTTAAAAAATCCTCAATACTCACACAGACGTATCTAGCATTATTTGGGTATCGCGGCTCCCGCGCGCTCCCCTCTGAGTGGTATATGAGCTGCAAAAACAATATGGATAGGTGGTAATCACTTATGCGTGCCGCATATATTCGGATTGCTCACTGTGTTCTTCCTCTGTCAGGTTCTTCTCCTGCACATTGCACTTCACCATCAACGCGCGCCATAGAAAATGGTTGCCCTTGCGGTGGAGGCATGCCCGACTGAATCGCGGACGGGGTCCGAGCGCTAGTACCCACCCTGCCGGCCTCGCTAACCCTACTCTGCATCAGTGCTTGCTTGATATAATTGGGTATGTCGTTCCAGGTGTCTCGAATATTCGGGTCGCTGATATACTTGGGGCAAACGTCCATTTGCGGTGAGGAAGGCGGGAGCGGTGGGCGGGAGCGGTGGGCGGGAGCGGTGGGCGGGAGCGGTGGGCGGGAGCGGTGGGCGGGAGCGGTGGGCGGGCGCAGTACCTGCACAGGCAGCTAGTATGCGACGCGATTCGGTGGCGTGATCGTGTTCTTTGCTCATGTTTGTACCAGACATATGTACCCTAAAATAGATTTGACCTTCTTTGTTATTCATACTAGACTGCCTTAGTTACTTGCATGTGTACTAGACAGGATAACATGATCTATAGCACGCTCGTTGCATATTCGATTCGCTCATGTGTTTAAGCCTGAAACAGCAGGCATGTACGACCCCTCGACGAGTCCATCGATTCGAACCTCAAACAATAGACGTGTATAAGTCCTCAAATGTCCCATGCCTTTCAACCTGGACTCGGACGTCTATTCATACATATATCACACGATCTGCTCTAACGCAATATTTTGTTCAACCAACCGTCTGTTCAAAGTTGTCCTCAGCTGGTACAAGTTCTAATGGCCCGCTAGTTAGTACTCCGACCACACTCCGATTACATACTTATTCACACGTACTTCCCTTTCAACCAGGGGGTCCTTGAACGCGGTGATTGTTGAACCCCGAGGCAGCAGTTGGGGAGCCCTCTTCGATGGCGATGATGATGACGACTATGCACCATCTGAGCATGACAGCAACCAGATTCTGGACATCTCTAGAATCTGGATGGGACCCGGTTGAAGCTGCGCTTGAGGATTACGCCCCGTCAATCTACCTCTCGCAACGCCTGCGCCATGCGAGAGCGCCTAACCTCACCAGCGCTTCCGTGACATCCACCTGCCATTTGTGTGGTGCATTCCCTCCTGTTTCTTTGCGAAATCTGTCTTTGAACACTTGGCGGGTCGCATTGGAGCTGTACCGCCGCGATGCTCTGGCAGCATCTCAGGCAGCTTTCATGAGCGGGGAGTTGACATAGCCATGTAGTAGGATATATCCAAAGTGTACAGTAAACTAAAAGACCATTATGACTAGTACAGGGGATGTTGCAAAGGTTGAAGAACTAAGTACAGCGGGCCGCCACATCGCACACCGAGGGCGCCCTCCGACTCTCTCGGACTGCCTTGACAGGGACGTCGGGATGTGACACATGTCACCGATGGAGGAGTCACGGGGGTAAAGCCACCAGACGTTTGAGTGTCCGGATACCCCCGATTTTTCGTATCCGCTTCACACTCCGAACGTCTGGTCACGAGACTAAGGCTGGGGTCATAGCGACAGCAACGCGCCGCAATCTGATTTTCCGGAGAAGAGTTTTTGGGCGCCCCAAGGCTGCTTGAGTCAATGAGGTACAATTACAGGCACGTAGGCATACTTTTATGTACAACGTCAGCAGAAGCAGCAGCAGCTCATATACAACCCCAGGGCGCCATGATTGAAGAGCATGATGCGCAGCTGAGAACAGTCAGAGGGCCGCGTCATACTGGCAGCTCGCTGATGTCCACCTCTCTGGGACTCGGCGCGCCTGCCAGTGCTGGCGAGTCCTTGAGATCTCTGGTAGCCTCCGCAGCTCCCTTTTCGGCGAACTCGATGGGTATGCCGCCGTCGGTCGTGACGTAGTGCGAGGGCCCGTGGTAGCTGATCGTCGTCGTGAACTGCGTGATGGCTTCTCGCGTCCACGCCCGGCGGGACAAGACGCGCAGCGTGATCATCAGCGGGGACAGGCACTGCGCGCACGTCAACCAGACGCCCAAAGAAACACAGACTGCGAGGACGAGGGCACTCACCGTGAACATGGCGTAGAAGGAGAACGCGTAGGCGACGTCGGTGCCGAGGGCGTACGTGACGAGGTACGCGCAGCTGAAGAGCGTGAACGGGAGCGCGGACTCGACCACGATGGCGACGGCGCCGGTGTAGACGGTGGTGTCCGCGCCGTAGTGAAGCCGCATGTAGCGCTTGAAGTAGAAGATGCGCCCGCATATGAGGCCGGTGACGATGACGTTGAACGCGAACGTCGACGCGGTGTATGCGGTCACGGCCATGGCGGCGAAGCCTGCGAAGTAGTCCCCGTTCGGGCGCCCCGAGCCGTACAGGAGCCCGATTGAGAACACTGGGGAGGGGGTAGGTGAGGGAGTTGCTCCGTTAACGCAAGGGGGAATACATACCCAGAGACGCCACCCAGATGATGGAGGGGAAGATGATGACACGCCGGCTGTTCCAGACGACGAAACAACGGTACGTCTGTAGGCAGAGTACGGACATAGTTGAGCATGAGCGATAGGGACCATCTGCGTGCAACTCACCAGTAGCGCATCGCTCATTAGATTGCTAGCGACGCAAGCAGTGGTACCCCACGTCTGGTACCATATTGAAGATTTGTCCTGCATGTAGCCATCGATCCCGCCGGGATATGTTGGGTTGTTGATCCACATCATCTGGCCGAAAAACACTTGCGTAGTCCAGAAGATGGTGTTCAGAATGAGGAGCACCGTGCTGAACATCATCATGAAGTTGTCCATGAAGGTTCGTTTCTGAAGCTCCAGGAGTTGCCGAACCAGCATGAAGTACAAGACCAACTCGATCCCTATGGAACCCAGTGTGAGTTTAGCGTAAGGGGTATGGTTCAAGCCGGCGATTACTCACCATACAGGATTGCGTTGATGTAGTTCGATACATAATACGCGTTCTGCAAGAGTGATCCTGCCATTGGGAGAAGTCTGATCTCTGGACCGGCGGCAAGCAACAGTGCGTAGGACAAACCACGGAACGTTGACGGTCGCCTGCGTACTTATGCAACATCGGACAGTCGCGTAGCTCCAGATCCACAAAAGATTTTGTTGGAGAATCCGGTGCGTAGGCAAAAAGCAGCGCGATTGGCGCATAAGCGATGGACAGTAGCAGCGCAATAAAGCACCGTCTTGCAGCACATGCCTCCCTATGAGAAGACGGACCGGGAGCAGTGAGTAGGGACACTGGTTGCCGCAACATCCGGCATTATCGACCACAATTTCCACCCAGGTCAGCCCCCAGCCAATCGATATGATCCCGATGGGTCAGCCCACACAGGAAGGCTTGCTTCGAACACACTAGTTGGCGCAAATTCAGGCGTGAGGCGTGGTTCCCTGCAGATGCCATGCACTGATGCCGTAAGTGTGAGAATTCGGGAAAGTTTTGAATGCTTCCACCTTCATTACAGTATGGGCGGCTGATCTCCCCTTGACCTTTTATGCCAAAGTTATCAGCGACACTCGAAAATAGCAAGCAAGATGTGTCCTGCTGTGAACAGTGTGTTGCAAATAGACGTTTTCTAGCATTGTCGTTCTCAATAGAGGGAAGCTTGGACTGGGTGGAGACTCACCGGCAAATTGCTCATGTAACGAGCGTTGCGAGTATCCGGAGAAAAGAATCACCGTATGTTCCGTCCGTCATGACATACCGCAATAAGTGGGCCCGCACAACGAAACCGAGGCACAACAGCAGCTCGGACTACATCGCCATCAGGTATCGGACATCCTCATCTTCCGTAAATTCATTCCGGTCATATCGTGGTAGCCATGCAAGGTGACTTCGCCAGTTCGGATGGGCGGGCACTAGAGGATTCGCAGAGGTGCATAGTGAGCTGTGAAATGCAGTGCAAGCACGGGATCCACGATCACAGCACGGACCCGAGAGTGTACCTCGTAGCATCATCAGAGTATAGTTACGAGATCCGCTTAACGTCGACAGCAAGCGCTCCATTATTCCGAGTTCCTCTCCCCTGTGTACATAGCTTTTACCTTCTTTCACTTCGCAATGGTAAGACACATCTGACCTGACCTCGATAGAGCTAGCAAACTCACCTCGCGGTTGGATCGACATGTCGACAGCGGGCAAAAGTCGGAACCCAACACATGATGAAGTCATAGTACACATAACAGCGGTAGCCATGTATTGATACAGCATATAACATCCAAACATGCCAGCCGAATCAGACACCTCACCGCTGCTCCCTCGGTTCTGCACACACACGTCAGCCAACCAACTCCACAACAAGAGCAACATGACATGTGACGTACGTGACCACTGGATGTTCAATATCAGGTTATCGTAACCCCGCCCGTGCATCTTCTCCATTGCTTTCTGCGCAACAGCCTTTTCCTCAAAGCTGACGAACGCGAAGCCCTTGCCCGCGCCCGTCTCGCGGTCGCGGCCCACATACACGCGCGCAACGCGGCCAAACCCCCCGAACAAGTCGCGCAAGTCGTTCTCTTGAGTGTCCTCTGAGATGTTCGTGACACGGAGCGTGGGGAGATCGTCGCGCGACCCGCCGGGACGGCCCATTGACTCCCCAGGCCCACGTCCACCCCCACGCATAGAAGGAGGGACGTACTTGCCCCCCGTACTTGCTGTTGGTGCGGCTGCAGCGGGCTCTGCGGGGGTGCCGGTGTCGTCCAGACCAAGAGGAGGGGTGTCTGTAACGCAAAGGGCGGCATGAGGAAATGGGAGATGCTAGAGGGTACTGCGTTGCGTGACGTACCAGCACCATCCAGACCGGACAGTGAGTCCTTGTAAGGACATTTTGCGGTGAAGTGGTCGCCCTTGCACAGACGGCAGATGACCTTGCCTGCACCCGCCTTTGCGAGGTTGGTTTTGACGGCCTGCTCTGCTGACTGCTCCTGGGCGGCTGCCTGGAAACGGCAGGAAAGAGAGAAGGTATTGGAGAAGGCTCCGCACATGAGAAGGGAGAGAATTACACACCTTGTTGCCCGCACTCAACTTCAACGCAACGTTCTCTCCGATGGTTGTGGTTGCGCGATCCGGGCCCGGCTTGTTCCCCTTCTCCTGCCCAAACTTTGACCATGCCTTCCTCTCGGCTACGGAGTGGTCCACTACCGCCTTCTGCAATACACGCTTGATCTTCCGCGTAATCTGTACAGTCGATACTTAGAGAAGGGTGCCATCAGATACTGGAGAATCCTAGACACTCGCCTTGACTTTCTTGCCCTCATCGTTTATCGTGTATTCCACAGTCGTGCGAATGCCATTCTCGTCAACGAAATCCTCGCCCTTTGGCTGCTCTAGAAAGCACGCTGGTTAGCTCGAATGGAGCTTCCAGCATCAGAATCTGGCTCACCGAGCTCATCGACTTCGTCCGCCCAGTACGTTTTGGGTGCGCTGAGACAGATAAGTCAATTTCCAAGCCCACGAAAAGAGGCGAAGAGGCACATACGTGCTGGCCATAATGATCGTGTAAGAGAGGGAGAGTGCTGCCTGGCTGATCCAGGTTAGCAAACAAAATCTCTACGAGTCACGATCGCGTGACGGGGAAGATAAGGAGGAGACTAACTGTGGGAAACATGGTCCGAGGGCAGCTGGTCACAGTACTTAGAGCTTAATTGGTAACAGGCATCGTCACACCTTCGTGTATCGCTTCGACTTACGCCTCTTCTTCCAAAGCTATACGTTCGCCTACTTCTGCTTTCCTGCTATTCGGCTTTCGAGCTTGTTGCGAGCTGATAGCAGCCACTAACACTGGAATGGCGTCAGCGGGACAGTGAGCAAAAGGTCGCTATCCCGATACTGCGTTATTGAAATCCTAAATGCGTACAATTCAGGAGGCAGCAAAGACCCACGTCCATCGAAATAAATGGCGCCTCTCCCATTTTAGAGTCGTCGTCTGAGCTGCTTAACTCGCTCGAGGACCACGAAGACGTGGTTTCCTGGATAAACGACATCCTCGGTGTCTCTGAGGAACCTACAGATGCCGACCGACCTGCAGCCTTGACGGAGCTCGACCGACGCGTCTCGCATCTGGTCGGGACCTTGGAGATTGCCTCCGAGGACACTTCTGCCCAGGTCGACCGGCTCATTGAGGACATCTCGCGCGGTGCGTCCAGGCTCACGTACGACCTCCATTTCATGCGTGAAAGTGCGCTTTCCCTGCAAGGCATTCTGGGCAATGTCGAGCTCAAGTCCAAGTCGTCTCTCGGGACGGAGACGGATGCTGCGTTGGAGAGACTTCACTACCTCGACACCGTCAAACGGAACATGGAGGCTACACGAGAGGTACTACGGGAGGCGGAGAGCTGGAGTACACTCGAGAGCGACGTCACTTCGTTACTTGGGGAGAAGAACTACGAGAAGGCAGCGGAACGGTTATCCGAAGCGTCGAAGAGTATGGTCGTATTCGAGAACACACCGGAATATGAGAGCAGGAGGACCCTCATGGTCAGCTTGCAGAACCAACTGGAGGCGTCGCTAAGCTCTGCCCTCGTCGCTGCAGTCAACTCACAGGACGTCGCGGTGTGTCGCAACTACTTCTCCATATTCGCCAACATCCGGCGTGAATCAGAGTTCCGTAACTACTATTACGGGTCGCGACGAGGCCCACTCGTGGAAGAATGGCAGCATACGCATCTCCGCGACTGCGATCCGACTTCACCTGCCGAGCCATCCTCCATCACTTTCTCGTCCTTCCTGCCGACTTTCTACGCATCTTTCCAGAGGATCCTGCAGACTGAAAGGTCGTCCATTCCTGCTATTTTCCCTGATCCTCGACCGACGCTCTCCGCCCTCATCACCTCCACTCTTTCCGCCCTCCAGCCATCCTTCTCTCAGCGCCTCGAAGCGGTGTCGACCCATTACGGCGCCGTCGCACTTCCCCAGCTGATATCGGCGTACCGCGCAACCGAAGAGTTCGCAACCGCTACCGAGAAAATTATGGAGAAGGTCAGCTACGCAGTCCCCATTCCCTCTGGCGAGAAGCCTGCAGGACGCTTGCGCCGCCGCTCTTCTGCGCGTATGTCGCTTTCGATGGCGCGGCGCACCACCCGCGCTTCGATCAGCGGAACTGGTGCTCTCGCACCTCTGACGCTTGATTGGGACCAGGAGCTCTTCGAACCCTTCCTTGACTTTCAGGTGGACTACGCTACACTGGAAACACGCTTGGTTGAGGATGCCCTGAAGGGCGCGCTGGCGGCCGAGTCTCGGGGTCGCGTCGACAATGCGCGCCTGCTACGAGAGCGCGCTGTGGACATCTTTGGAGTTGCCGAGGACGCTATAGGGCGCTGTACGGCATTCACGCATGGATACGGGGCGCTGGGTCTCGTGCAAGCGACAGACCGCCTCTTTGCCGCCTTCGCGGACGAATCAAGGGCTGAGATTGGGTCACGGCGCAGTGGACAGGGCGGCGGGTCCCTTGCTGCATCCACGTCTGGCGAGGACTTGTCAGACCTCGACTACACCGCGGAGGATTGGGCGGACATTCAGGCCCTGCTACACTTTCTGGAGGCCGTTCGCACGCTGCTTGACCGGATGGTCATGTTCGAGTCAAAACTTCGTGCGAGTCTTGTTCAGATCTCGACGACGTTGCGCCCGGCGAGGAACGACCCTGCGGGCATATTCGTGTCGGGGGCGAACAGGGGAAAGCTTCAACTGCTGATGCAGTCCGGTCTCAACTCTGCGGAGCTGCAAGAGCTATTGAATAAAGTCGACCCGGAACCTTCTGTCCCGCAGACCGCGCGGGGCGAGACGTTCCTCACGCCTACTCCTCCGACGCCGGACCCCCGACGGTCCCCGCATCTTTTTGCTAATAGCCCTCCATCCCTCGCGCCTCCCCCACCTCTTCTTACGGGTGGCCGTAGCGCGATATCTGAGTTGGCGAGGGTGTGTCAGCAAGCGCTGCAGGATACCATCCTGTCCCCTCTGCACAAATACCTTGCGTCGTACGCATCGTCTTCGCTATGGTCCACGCCAGGTGACCCGAAGGCGAGGCGTCCCGCCACTTCAGGCAGCGCGCTGAGCGAAGTCCAGGTCCCCACCTTCTCGCTCTCGCCCAGCAGCACTATGCAGCACGTCGCGGAAGGATTGCTGAACCTGCCGCGGTTGTTCGAAGTGTACGCGGATGACGATGCGCTCGCCTTCTCGCTCGAGACTCTCCCGTTTCTAAATGCAGAGATGCTCCGGGGTCTGACGGAGCCCCCGCCCTCACTAGAACCGTCGCTCTCGTCGTCCAGCATCTCGCACAACCGCCGATCCTCCTCGCTCTCCCTGAAAGCTTCCCCCGTCTCCGCCGGGGGCTCCCCAGCGCCAGCAGCACCTCCCCCCGTGCTCACGCCAGAGGTGGTTTCAGCGGCGTGGCTGTCGTCGCTCGGGCTCTCGCTCGTGTCTCGCCTGACGTCAGACGTACTGCCACGCATTCCGAAGCTCACGCCTGCGGGCGCGGCGCAGCTTTCGTCGGACCTTAGCTACCTGTCAAACATCGTCATGGCGCTCAACGTCGAGTCCCCTGAGCTGGAGAAGTGGCGGGAGTGGGTCGACCTCGACGACGCGGAGGGTCGTGTGAAGGTAAGGGAGGCGAGGGAGGCGCTCGCTCCTGGGGAGAAGGAGGATGCGGTTATGGCTGCGGTCGTTAGGTTAAGGGGGTGGGTTTAAAGTGCGTAGTCGTTCTCTTGAGTTCAGATATAGACTTGGCGGTTTGAACCGTTGAGTTACTGGCTTAAACAATACCATCGTTTCCTTGCCTGGTTTGAATGGAGCGGCTGTGTATCCATTCATCTGATCCGGCATGTTGCCATCTGAATGAAAATTGGCGGAGGGCCATTTCGGGTATGGTGCAAAGACGGGTTCATGCCACGGAGGCCGTGGTCCCAACGCAGTGATAGCGTCGTCGCTGGACACTGCTCCCCAATATAGTTAGTGCAACCTAGGGAGTGCACCGTCGTGAACATTGGAGATAGCTGCTGAACGGCGTCTCAGTACTCAGTAGTCGCACCGGTGGAACGACTAGACAGCATCTTCACGCTGTGAGATCTTCCCTCCGTCAATGCACCCTTAAGTGAGTCATATCCCCAACAACCTGTATCGGCATAGAAGGACGTGTATGTGATAGAGGAGATTGAATGACACGTGTGATGAGATTTTCAGCGCATGCCACAGCAAAACGTCGCTTGCCCATAGTCGACAGTCGAACGCACGTTAGGTTACGACAATAAGATAGTGTGAATTATAATTAGCCTGGAACGAATGTAGAGTCATTACAGCCTCTCCGCAGAAAGCAGCAGAGGTCCAGCTAAGAGACCTTCTGCATGCATCAGCTCTCGTCCAGACCTGCTGCGTGGAGTTGCGCATACGACGGCGGCAGCGTCTCTACCACGTCCGTGTCGTACCCAGCCGGCGTGAACATATTCGCGTCCGGGTCCGCAATGGGCCCTCCTGCCAACCGCACCCCACCATCACGCGCCTCCCTGAACGTCCGTTGTACCCAAGGCGACTGTGGGGGAGACAACGCTCCTGAAAAGGACATGTTGCCTCCTGACGAAGACCCGGCACTGGTCGCGAGCGACACGGGAGCGGCCCCATCCGCCCTGCCAGGCATTGGCCGCATCTGCGGCCCAGGAAGGTACGGCAGCGGGCGGTCAGTGGCGGAACTGCCTCTCGGGGATGAGGCTTGATCAGCGCGAAGCTTTTCCAGGAATCCGGCTGCGTCTGCGTCTAGAGGTTCTACGTTATGAGTGTAGTGTGAGAAGCCTGGGGACGAGAGCGAGCTGTCTGTGGAAGGGGGGCCGCGCTCTGAGACGAGGGGCATCCTTGACCACGAGTCTGGCGTCTGGACGGCGGGGCTCGCCAGAAGTTGGCCCTTCGAGAATTGCGCCGCCTCTGGGGTATGGGCAGCTGGACGTAACATGTAAGTCCAGCCGCAAGCATGTGTGAACATCACAAAACATACTATCATAGGGCATGGCAGCCGACTTGTCGGATGTTTGAGACTTACGTCGCATTCGAAGCCACCAGAATGCAGCAAGGAGCAACGCGATCACACCAACAACGCCAACTACGACGCCGACGATGATCGACGTCTTCGAAGACGACCCCGTGGCGGCGGGAGCAGCAGATAGGCCGGTGTTGCCGTCCGTAGTGGACCCAGGACTCGGAGATTGAACGGGCGCGCCGCCAGTTGTCGACGTCTGTGGTGTCGAAACAGACAAGTCCGTTGGGGGCCTCAGGACTGTCGTACCGGTAGTCATGCTCGAGCCAGGGACGGTTCCCGATGAGCTAGTCTCAGGACTCGTGGAGCTTGTGGTCGAGGCTGTCTGCGTCTGGAAGACTGTGGAGAGGTGTTGAGAAGTACTAAAAGGTGGCGCGGCCGTTTCTGACGTAGTCGAGCGCGGCGCAGATGTCGTAGTTCCTGGCGCATTACTGGTGACAGGTGCAGAATCCGCGGTCTCGTACTGTACGAAGTCCAGCCAAAAGATGGCGCCGAGGTTCGTAATGGTGAGCTGATGCTGCGTGGGGGAGAGGTCTCCCGACGTGTATACGAGGTTTTGGTACGTAATTTGCGGCACGAAATCCTCGCTCAACCATAGCGTCGGCGCACCGCCGTCGACGGAGAATGAGACGTTGGTGAGGTAGGTCCCTGCGGGTCGGCGAGTCGCGAATACCTGAATCTGCGTGCCTGGAAAGCATTCGTAGGTTAAGGGCGGAAGACAATGAGGTACTGTTACGTGCGGATTGTGTCCGGATGAAGGACGCACCGATGAAATCGAAGGATACGCTCGCCCCGCTTTGATTCGTCCAAGTATCGTGGTGCCCGAAGGTGTTGGGGTCCCCATCCGGTACCCATAAGCCGGAGTAGAACATGCCTGCATCAGTGTCGTCTGCCGTCGCCACTCCAGCACGGGCGAAAGGAAAAGTGCAAAGCAAGAGTAGGGACAGGATCAAATGCAGCAAAAGCATGTCGTAGAGACCGGACTGCAGCCGGAAGGAGGAGCATAACCTGGTGGGACGGCCAGGCAGCGTCACAGAAGGAAGGGAGGGACGAAAAGAAGGAAGATGACGAGAAAGAGTGTGATGATCGCGGGAGAGAGACCGCAACGGCGAGGGCGGGCGGGATGCCGTCAGTCGTCGGGTCGCGTGCGGGAGCGGGTGACCGTCATCAGCTCGCGCTGACGATGATTCCGGGTACAGCGGCCTATGGCCGAAAGAATCTGTGTGGGGAGTATGTAGGGCTTTCCCAATCATCCATCGGCCGCCCCCGGGAATGGGCGGGTGATCAGCGTCGTGTAACTCGTTGCCGCCGCATCATTCAGTGACCCCGAGATGGGTTTAGACCACAAGACAACTAAGTTCAAGAGGGACAGAGCTCTCGCAACGGACCTGGATATTGCAAATAGCGCCGCGAAGCCGGCAAGGATCGGTGAAATTGTTTATGGGCTGCTCATGAACATCTGCAGTTCAGCAAACTCGAAGGTGATCGCGCTGCCGTAAACGATGACTACTAACCAATCGCCTGCTCTTCTCTACATGAGTGCGGTATGACGAGCATGTTCAGGAGAGACGAAGCGGGCTGCGAAGCTATAGGCGGAGTAGCCCTGCGCAGGCAGACGCAGAGGGAAGCTCAAGCGAATCGGCCTGCTTGATGTCTGACTGCAGCATCATTTCACAGCAACTAGTACTGGGTCAGGCACGGAAAGACGTATGAGGGTGCGTACACTGCGTACCTTCTGTCGCAAATTCTTCAACTACCAATGTTGGCCGTGTGCAAGCCGTGGGGGACTCAGTCCTGAACCGTCAGCTCAAGGCCTTACTCGCTCTTCGAGTACATGATGATACGCATTTGACAGAAAAGGTGATGGCGGGATAAGGCGTTCAAGTTTCAAATGAGTACTGGAGCCGGCGCAGTCCAAAAGGTTTGGACGCTCGAGGAGGAATATGAGGCGCCCAGACACGTGGCTAGTAGCCTCGTGCTCGTAACGCACGCACATCCACCAAAGTCGGGAGTCGGGACAGCGCAACGAGCCTCCTCATCAGAAACCTCCGTGCAAGACTCACGGACAGAATATGGCGCTTTGTGCAGACATACAGATGCCACGGATTGGTCCCTGTCGAAGACTCCGAGGGCATGACGGTCTATGCGACGGCCATTCGACGGTCAGTGTGTCCTTAGGTGGTCTGCCGTAAGCGATATTGATGTATCTCAATCATCGCACCCCGGACTCGTGAGCTCGTCTCTACCCGACGTCGGGAAGCAACCCCAGCCTCGCGTCCGCCACGCCGACCTACGGATCTATCTCCATCGAGGAGCAAGACGCGCGCGTTCACTCAAATGGCAAGTTGTCATCCTCGCTGTTGCTGCTAGCATGCGCACGTTCGGTAAGTACTGGATCCCTTAATACGAGCCACGCCGTCGCGCTCGGAAATTCGGGGGAGGACCCGATCGCGCTGCCAAACCTCTATCGATAAACCCAGTACTTGATACCTCAGAGTGCCCCCTTCTCCGGCGATAATGAGGGACACATGACCGCGAACGAGGAGCTCGGCGACAGGCGGAGCACGCCACGAGGCACTTCCCCAGGGAGAAAGGACCGGAGGTACGTACACATGTATGTATGTACATAATGAACGTTCCGAAGCCTTCGGGATCCCGAGTTCGTGGCGTCGCCCCTGGCACAGAAGACGGTGGCCTGGAAGTCTGATTGGCGTCGCAGCTATCAGCGGTGCCCTTGAATCCACGCAATTGGCGTAGTGGATGGCACAGCTCCATAGCGCGCGGGTCAGAGGACAGAATTCGGACGCTCTGTCCTGGACAGCTCGTTTCAGCCTTTTCGAAAACCGCAGGACAAGGTGCGATGCTCCATCGAGGAACTCACGCGACAAGTTGAAGGGATGAGAGAAGTCGAAGAAGCTGCGATTCAGACGACTACTGTACACATACGAGCGACTCTACAGGCACGGTCGACGAAGCGTCCCGAATACACCCATGTTCATTTCGTGCGTACACCGTGGGCGGAACACGCTCAGAACTTGACCTTGGCGACGGTCTCCCAGAAGCCCTTGCCCTGCGCCTCGGCGACCTCGAGCTCGAGCGCGGAGGGCTTGCGCGAGCCGTCAGCGCCCGCGAAGGTACCCGCGCCCCAGGGAGAGCCTGCGATGATAAATCAAGAGCGTCAGCGCATCGCTCGCCAGGAATAGCAAAGTTTACAGGATGAGAGGGTTCCGTAAGGGTCGCCGGCAGACTAGCGTGCAAATGACGCGCATATAGCCGCGGAAGCGGGGGGAGTGCGGACGGGCGAACGAACGAAGGGAAGAACGGAACGGGTAGGCTAGACGGAAAGGGGACACTCACCACCGTGGACCTCCGTGAGGTTCGTGAGCTGGCCGAACGTCTTTGCGTACCCGAGGGGGACGTAGATGATGCCGTGGTGGGTGAGCGTCGAGATCGAGTTGATGACGGTCGACTCCTGGCCGCCGCCGGGGGACGAGGTGGAGACAAAGACGGACGCGTACTTGCCATGGAGCGCGCCCGTGGCCCACAGCTGGCCGGTCGCGTCCCAGAAGGCCTTCCACTGGCCGGGGAAGTTGCCGTATCGGGTGGGGATGCCGAAGACGAACGCGTCGAACTGGGCGAGGTCGTTCGGGGCGAGGATGGGGTAGTTGGGCTTGGGGGGCGCGTAGAGCTTATCGAGGACCTCCTGGGGGAGGGTCTCCGCGATCCTGTAGGTTCAGAAGGCATGGTCAGATCGGATGAGAGCGTGATCGACATTGAAGTACGCACTGGTAGATGGTGGCAGAACCGCCGCCGGCCTGGATACCCTTCTTCACGGCCTCCGCCACTATTTGCGTAAGTGAGCACAAGACGGAAGAGGGATAGGTAGGAGATATAACGTACAAGTGGCGACGTGGCCGTACATGGAGTAGATGATGATGGCGACCTTGGGGCTAGACATGGCTGTAGCAGGTGCGGGTTGGATGGCAGGAGCGGGGGTAGGTGCAGGTGCGGAGGAGGCGGGGGAGGACTTGGACTTGGATGCGGGCTGAGTGTCTTCTGAGTGGTTGTTCTTAAGCCTCTTGCCGGGGAAGCACATTCACGAGGCTGTTGGCGAGATGCAAGACGATAGCGGCGGGGACAGGGGACTCCACAGGTAGGTTTTATACATCGATCGAGCGTCTGCGCACCCGAGGCCGTCGTGAGACGTTCACCCCCTGATCGGGGAGGTCGTTCTTCTCGAGAACTCGAATCCGTAGCCCAATATGGAGCCAGACGCGCCCCCGTCACCTCACGCTCCTTATTCCCGCCGCGCCTCCGCCTGCCGTACACTCACTGGGCACCGAAGGCCTGCGCAGACATTGGTGGATCGCCCGGAGATAGTAAGCTCATAGAGCGCAACCGCGGCGTGGACGGTCGGTCGCAGAGAGAGCAAGCGGGTCGCAGCTAACGTCATGGACGGGGCAGGCGCGCATGGGCGAGTAGGGTGGCTGTGGCCTCCCCTGAGTGTTCGCCTCCCAAATCGGGCAGGATTCTCTCGTCCGCGGCTGTTGTGGCTGGCGTGTCAACTTCACCCGCCCGGGCCTTGTCCATTTCCGGGCCCATCCCGCCCACGCCCGCCCTCGCAGCTCTGTTCTCGCGTAGCCGTCCAGCGACGACGATGGCGACCCTTGTCTACTCCTGGCCCTTTGCTCACACACACACTCACGCCGCTCGTGACGGCGTTGCCTCCAGGTCGATTAACCGTGCAAGTTGCCTCCAATGGTCATCATCCATCGTCCGCTTTTGGGCTGCGGTTCTCCGCGTCCTGCTCCATGGCGTTCTCCGTCTTACGCCCATTCGAACGCTGACTCACCCAGACTGTCAGCTCCATTAGCAAATCCATGATCGAACTTACAGAGCATGCCTCTCCAGCCCGCAAAAGCATGCAAGACGTGCTGCGTCCCGCTCAGTCCATGTCGAAGCTATCCCGAAGTTCCTGGAACAGGTGGTTGATTCGGTTGAGACTCGCGCGAGGCTTGGTCAGCACGCCCGAGCTCAAAAGTAATGCTGCATGCGTCAAGACCATTCGTAAGGCGAGGTCAACCTTCGGTCTAGCACTGCTGGTCACCGATGCATCGTAATGTTCCGTAAGTGGCGAGGCGAGTGTGTGTCAAGCCTTGACACAGTCTGTCAAAGAAAGATGAAACTCAGGTCGCATAAATTCTCTCCGAGTCAGCACATTCGCTCAATGTATACGTGAGATTGAGGCCCCGTTCGGTATGTCGGATTAGAGTAGGATACATAAGTAGGTTCAGTTTTCCCCGCCAGCAGCCAAACCGCCAGAGCCCACTCCCATCACTGAGCGGCTACGGCGTTTTTGGCTGATGAACCAACCAACCCATCCTTATCCTATCCGACCTACCGAACGGGGCCTGAAAGATATGTCTCATAGAGGATTCGAACCTCAACAGACCTTTTGGCAAGCGGTTTTTTCAGCGCCTCGCCCGTTCTTCTCCAAATGAGGAGTCCGGGTCTATTGGCCATCTGGTGCTAGATGTTTCAGGGATCCTCCGCGCCAACCGAGCTCAACCTTCCTCGATCCTGTGCCTACGAGAGACGGTGACTGGCTGGCGATGCGCTGAACGAGATGTACTTGTTCTGGTCTGCTCGATGTAGAAGCACATTGTACTGAGGGGTAGTGGTCCTTTGCAGGTATGAAACCTTCTCATCCTCCCTCTGCCCGTCTCAAAGCTCCCTCTCACCCTTCGTCCCGCGTGGTAGGGAGGTCTCAGACCTGCAAGGCCTGCTGACCCTCACTTCAGTAAACCTCGTTGTAGGCAGTAGTACTCGCTCGATATGAACATCATCGTCGGAATTTTGGGTTGAAGACCACCAATCCGTCGTCTTAAACTTGAAGTTCTTCGATATAGTCGAATCTCGATCGAGGTCGAGCTTTGCCTCAATGCTGCTCGTAACTTGTGCTGCTTTGTCATCCAAGTACTGGCGCTTAATTTCAAGGTGGTAAAGCCCGAAGCCACACCGACTCGTCCCGGATTAATAGGGGTAGTCAAAGATGGCGGTTCGGTGGACGATTCGAGCGAACGATTCGGGAGACGATTCGAGAGGGGGGGAATCCGCGATTCTGGCAGAATCGCGTCGAATCGCCGGTGCGAGTCTGGAGGAGCACCGCCCACCCGAATCGCGATTCTCTGTACTCGATTCCCTCAGTCCGACCTCGGATAAGCCCTCTTGTAATAGGTTATATGTCAAATTATTATTGGGCTTACGAGCGACCCTACTGCAACTTGAAGCTGGCGGCTTCTCTACTTTAATCAGAATCACTGGTGTACAGATTCCCTCCACCTTCAAATGTCCAACCAGACCGAAACCCTTCCTTTCAGAAAGTCCGGCCGTCTCACCTGGCAACCTGCTGCTGGCTCTGGCACAAAGATCGGGAATTGAGTGCGCCGTGTCTTGGTAAACTGAATATATTCGCTATGCGGGCCCGAGAGCTGTAACAAGGCATAGTAGGGGGAAGAACAACGCGGCACACGTCGAGAAACCATCGCGCGAGGATGCATAGATTACCTAATTCTGATATCACAGACGCCAGAAGGCCTGACCGACTCAAGAATCTATCCTGGAATCGACCCGTAGAAACGTGGGGTGGTCAAAGTGCCCACACGAATCCAGGACGATTCCCTTCCACCGAATCGCTGCAGAATCGCTTGTCGAACCGTCCTCCGAAACGCCATCTTTGACTACCCCTAAATATTGTGGCAGCCCCTCTCCACTACGCCATCCATGGCAAATCTCGGTCATTGGTTCGCGCCATACAGTGTACCTGCATGCAGATGCACCCAAGACTCAAGAAACTTCGTTCCCTCCCTACTGAACGACACGGAGGAGCTCGTATACGGTATAGAACTGTGGATCCCATCTAAATCAGGCTGATCTGCGAAAACCCTGTCGTCGTTGGTTGCCGCCTTATATGCGCTGATAGGCGAGCTACTGTCGCCGAACTGACGCTAGCTCCGCTGCACCCAGATCATGTTCAAATTGAAAAACCATGTTGCAATTGCTTAAAGACGGCTGGCTTCTCTTCGAGACATGATTCCGCAGCCCCAACAGCCCACCCCTTGGCTTTGAAATCAACGCACGGAAGCCTCCTTGGGAGAAGCGCATCTTCGCGTTCGCTCAGTACACGATGGCCAATCTCGACTACGCAGAAGAGAAAATTGTGCAGGAGAATGTAGCGAACGAGTCGGTGCCTTACACAGGAGCAGGAGATCAGGTAGATGTCTTTGGGGACGAAGAGCAACATGATATCCGGTACAAGACTCTGAGCTGGCAGGTAAGTTGGACACTTCACAGCTGTGAACGGTCTGATCGGATGCTGAAGTGTCTGCTCCGTAGCTCGTCGCCGCACTCATGATCACGGAGATCGTGAGCACAGGCATGCTGACGCTCCCGAACGCCATGGCAGTCGTGGGTGTGTCATCCAGGCAGGGTGCCCTCACCGTGGTACTCACTCAGCGTCTTCCTACACAGGGATCGTCCCGTCTCTCATCCTGACGGTCTTCCTAGGCGTGTTCGCTTTGTACACCGCCAAGCTGCTCATCGACTTCAAGCATAACCATCCGGAGGTGCACAACATGGGTATATGCGCTCCCTAGAAACTCTTGCAGCACTTCTCACGTCAAATCCCACAGGCGATGCCGGGTTCATCATGTTCGGCCCCGTAGGCCGCGAGATCTTCTCCGTGGGCTCGCTGATCTTCGCCATATTCTGCGTCGGGGCCCTCGTCCTCTCCGGGCAGCAGGCCCTCTCGGTGCTCTCGGACAACGGCCTATGCGCGACAGTGTTGCTGGTGATCTTCTCGCTCGCGACGTTCCTCGTCTCCCTCCCCCGGACGCTGGCGCAGCTCAGCTGGGTCGGGCTGCTGAGCGCGGCCTTTATCGGCATTTGTGGGTTGTCTGGTATGATCGGAGCGGGGGCGAACCCTGTCCCCGGCCGAGTCGTCGTTGCGACTGTCCCGAACAACTTTTACGAGGCCTTCCTTGCGATTACTGGGCCTGTAAGCCTGCCTTTGCTTGGTCTTGATCATTTGACTGACTGACTGGCTCGTTCCAGGTGTTTGCATATGCAGGTATGAGTTGCCTGCATTGATGGAAGACTAGACTGAATGCTTGCACACATCGCAGGCCATTTCATGTACGGAAGGTTTTGCGCCATAAGCGAAGTGTCGAAATCCTCATACTGTCACTCAGGTTCTTCGTCCTCATTTCTGAGATGAAGCGCCCAGAAGACGCTATGAAGGCGAGTGCACCCGCGTCTTTGCAGGTCTCAGGCAATAACTAGAGCCCATAGGCTGCTTGGGTGCTGCAAGGGTTCTCGACCACGTTCTACGCCGTTTTCAGCGTGGTCGTGTACGCGTATATCGGCAGCACCGTTGCCTCGCCCGCTCTCCTTTCGCTCCCTCCCATCTGGGCGAAGGTCAGCTTCGCCTTCGGCTTGGTGAACTTCCTCATGTAGGTCACCTTCTGGCTCGACGTGAAGCGCGTGCTCATCGTCGTCGTCGTCTGACAGAACAGGAGCGATCTATGCCCATACCGCGGCGAAGCTTGTCTTCGTCCGCGTCTTCCGGGGCACCCACCACATCTACACGCACACGGTGCTCGGCTGGTCGACATGGGTCGGGCTCTGCTTTGCCTCTGTCGCGGTGTCCTTCGTGCTGGCGAGCGCCGTCCCCATTTTCTCGTACCTCACCGGGATCACAGCCTCGCTTTTCGCGTCGTGGTACACTTACGGAGTGGCTGGCTTCTTCTGGCTCTACGATACCTTCCACCTCAAGGGAGGGCTTGATGCGCTGAAGAGGAGGCGGCTCGGGACATCGTTGGCTGTCGCGACCGTCCTCGCGGGGGCGTTCATGTGTGTGGCCGGGACGTATGTCTCAATCAAGGTATTGTGCGCTGTTTGTGGATGATCGCTGTTGGTCCGCTTACAATGTTCTCGTGTATTCTCAGCTGATCGCGGACGCGTACGATGCAGGGCTTGTTGGAAAGCCGTTTACATGTTAATCGCACTCGATTTGCTCTCCGTACGACTGATATGGCAGGGTAGTGCTTATACAAAGACATTCAAAGAGGAACACCTCGCCGCCCCACCGCCTTTGCATGTGTGCTCTGCTTTCCCCCTTGGCATCCGTGCAACGAGCAAAATGTGATATGATTTGAGTTTGGGATGCGGCGTACTGTGTGTTTACAGGAAGAGAAAGTGAGTCATCTGCGGACCCAACGAGATCTGACTCACGACACTGTACTAGGATTAGATCACTTCGCAGGATCAAGCTGTAGCGAGTCCGTGCGCAACGGAGGCGGATCCGTCTATCAGAACGTCTGCACTCCCTTGCTATACCCGCCCAAGGACACCGTTGGCACTGGGGGTTCTCTTGGATTGGACTGGGCTTATTGTGCGAGCCAATTGTACTCACGCTTCGAGTCACTGTGGGACAACGTTGGGTCCGTGCTGGCAGTGGCTGTTCTCAGCCATGCCGAGGGGATCTGTGGTCCCCTATAACGCTGACCATGGCATGTCTCCCGGAATCTAAGACACCGCAGGTACCCTCCCGACCTGCAGCTTGTCCCACTCACTCACGCGATGTCTTCGACGGCTACGACCCCTGCTCAGGATCTGAATGCGGTCATGGCAAGCTGTTACACCGCACATCCTGAGATAGAAGGTGGCCGCCTTCGCGCGCACAAGATCGAGGTCCATGTGACTCTGCGAACCATTATCGTGCGTTTTCCAGATCGGCCCGGATGCAAGATACATGATGGGTGGAGGCACAGGTAGTGTACCCGCTTGCTTGCCCTTCTGTAGGTACATGCGCGCAATTGTGGCGATCCTGCTTGAATGCGGACGACAAACCTGTCGCTAGCATACGCCCAAGCAGATAATTCACTATTGACTCGAACACCCGCACAGTCAGCGTTCTGACTGCTCTGCACTCTAGGCCCATAGTCTTTCGCGCTCGCGGAACTTGGCCACGAAGTCACGCTCGTCGACGTCTCCTCAGGCCTCCTCGCCCTAGCCCAAGCACGCGCCGCATCTTCCCCCGACGCGCCCGCCCCTCCAAGGTGACGCGACGCGCCTCGCAAACCACCCCGATCTCGCAGACGAATGCGGCACATTCGACGCCGTCCTCCTCCTCGGCCCCCTCTACCACATCATGGCCGCAGACCTCCGCGCTCCGCGACGCGTGGGACTTCGTCCGCCCGGACGGAGGCGTGCTCTTCTGCGCGTGGGTCAGCCGGTACGCGCGCTACCGCGGCCTCGCGCTGGAGGAGCCCGCACGGCTCGCGCGCAAGCCGGAGTTCTATGCTCGACATGCGCAGGACGGGGTCTATGTAAAGCTCGCGCCGGGTGGGGAGGTGTTGCATCATGAGCTGCCGGACAACATGCCCGGAGTTTGAAGAGAGGCGACAGGTGTGGAGGACGTGGAGATGGTCGGGACGGAGGGTCTGTTGGCTGGAGGTCTGGACAAGTTGGTGAACGAGTTGGAGGGAGAGGAGTTTGAGGTGAGTATCTGCAACCTCTGTATCCGCAGAGCGAGTGTGCTCACTGTTTTGCCAGGCGTGGGTGCAGAAATGTTTGGATGTCGGCGCGGATGAGCATGGTTGGAGAATGGCGGATCATATCGTTGGAGTTGCGATGAAGGTGTGATGCTTCGGAAGACGGGCAGCGGATGCTGCGCAGAGATCTGACCATGGATGTATGACACCGGTGCCCAAGAAACTCATGCGTGCATTACTGTACCGAGGCTGTATATCTACTTATAAATATGCGTCTAGATAAATGCTTGGTAAAACACAACAGTCATGGACCTCAAGATCTCGTCGTACAACAATAAATATCTGAGCTCCTCCGACAGGACACGTCCGCTCACAAGTCCTTGGAGAGCGAAGCAGCCGCTTCCAAGGCCTGCTCTACGTCAGCCACGAGATCCTCTTCCTCCTCCACGCCAACAGACAGCCTGATGAGGTTATCCCCGATGCCCAGCAGCGCACGCTCGGCAGGCGGAATAGACCCGTGCGTCATCTGCGCAGGGAGTTCCGCCAAGCTCTCCACGCCACCCAAGCTCTCCGCGAGTGTGAACAGCCGCGTAGAGGTCAAGAACTTCTCCGCCTCAGCGGCCCCGCCGCGGATGCGGAACGAGATCATGCCCCCATATGGGAACCCGCCCGCGGCATCCCCGTGATCCTTCAGGAACCGGTCTACGTACGCGCGCGCATGCGACGAGAGCGAGCGGTACGCGAGGTCATTGCGCGGGTGGCTCGCGAGCCCGGGGTAGATGACCTCCTCGACGTGCGGCGACTTCTGGAGCGCGCGCGCGACGGCGAGCGCGTTGGCTCCGTGCGCCTTCATGCGCAGGTGGAGCGTCTTGACGCCGCGCTGCGCGAGCCAGCAGTCGTACGCGCTCGGCACGGAGCCGACGGCGTTTTGGAGGAAACGGAGCTTCTCCGCGAGCGCGGCGTGGTGCGCGGGGAGGATGAGGGCGCCCATGACGACGTCCGAGTGGCCGTTGACGTACTTCGTCAGAGAGTGCACGACGATGTCGGCGCCGAGGACGAGCGGGGACTGGTAGAAGGGGGAGAGGAAGGTGTTGTCCACGAGGACGAGGGGCTTCGAGGGCGCGGAGTGCGCTAGAGAAGCGATGCGCGCGATGTCGACGAGACGGAGCGTGGGGTTCGTCGGGGTTTCGATCCAGATGAGCTGCACGACGGATACGTTAAGTCGCCAGTCATCGCGGGAAGCTCGCAGAAAGCGGACGTACTTTGGTATTTGGACGGAAGGACGCGAGAACCTCGCTATCGCTCGCGTTCTCGAGGTCCACAAACGTGGTCTGCAAGCCCTGATTCTCCGAGGCGACGCGCGTCATGTAGCGGAAGGTCCCACCGTAGACGTCGTTCACGCTGACGACGTGCGCGTCAGGGCCGAGCGCCTGGAGGACGGTCGCGGTCGTCGACGAGCCGGAGGCAAAGGCGAGCGCGTACGCGCCTCCGGACTCTATCGCGGCGAGCGTCGCCTCGAGCGCGTTCCGGTTCGGGTTGCCGGAGCGCGAGTACTCGAAACCCTGGGTGAGATTGACGCAACGAAGGCGCCATGCCGCATAAGATTCATGTTACGGAAGGGCTGCGGAGGCTGGGATGAAGCGCACCTTGTGGTTCCCTACTCCGTGCTGCTTGTACGTCGTGCTCAGGGAGATGGCGGGGATGACCGCGCTCGTCGATGGGTCGGGCTCCGAGCCGACGTGGATGGCGCGCGTGCCAAAACCGTCGAGCGAGGCGTGCTCCTTGATGGCATGAATGCCGTTTGTGTTCGACTGGCCGTTGGGTGCGGCGTGCTCTCCGTTCAAGATGGCTGGGGACATGGTGCAAGTAGAGCGCTAGAGCGAGATGCGAGGTATCAAAACACAAGTTGAGAATGTTCAGCAGATGCACAGCGTGAGCAGCACGAAGAAAACAGCAAGAGCTAGCGATGAAGATGGTGAACAGAGAAAGACCTCAGCCTGGAGGATTTATATGAATCTGAGGGGCGGCAGACTTCGTCTTGGGTGGTTGCGGCAGTATGACGAGATCGGGCGCGCTACGTCGCTGACAAAACCATATGCTCTCTCCCCCGCCTCCGCCTGTCTCTCGGGGCTGACATGGCTACCTCTCTCCGTCGCTCGCTTACACTTGTTTCTCGGATCCTCGTCGACATTGCAGGTCAGATGCTCGCCGTCTACATTCGCCGCGCGCGCCATTGGTCCCGGATGTACACTGTTTACGTGCGCTCATGTCAACTCGGTTCGTTTGAACGTTCACAGCCCAATCCTGTCGGCGACAACATGCAATGGCGACGGGAGTGTTCCCAAGCCGCATCATTGTCTCGGGATATCAATGGCAGTTGAAAGCTTGACGGTGCTGGCCGAGAGCCTTCTGGCATCTCATTTCCCCATCCATGGATCCACGGGTTCAAGCCTTCGGGTTTGTCCGTTTGAATCATGAGCGCACATGGGCTTTGTATACAATCCGAATGCTGCATTGGATGATCGTGATTGATCTGAGTATGAATCGAGCCAAGCAGCCAGGACATCTAGGTAAGTGTCATCACCTACTGGACATGTCGGCCACTGTTGACCCATTCGGCAGGACGCATATAAGATAGCTAGGGAAATCCTTACAGTCAGTCAGGAAGCGGGGTCGTTCATTGCTATCGCCGAGCATTGTTCAGAACTTGGCTCGGCACGGTTATTTGAGAAAAGGAGAGCTCCTTCTCCGTTGCGCAGGACAAGGTGACAAGAACGTGCGCAAGGTATGTCCTCAGTTCACGCCATCGTCTGTACGCCCGTCGTCACTCGTCTCTCGGGCCCATTCCAGTTCCCCGAGCCCCGAGGTTCTTCGATCATATCCCCATTGCTACCGTCATTCCTGTCGTGCACGTCGTATCCGGGTACATCAATGTCGCATGCTGTTGTTATTCGTGATACAAATGCCGCATCGTACACAGGATACTCGTACAGCGTCTCGTCTTCGAATTCCAAGCCACTTTGCATTCCCTTGCCCCTCAAGCTTCTTCGCGACGCGCAGCACATTCGAGGCCATCGGAGAACACAGCAGTCACGCCTTCTTCCCCGCCTTCTTCGCGGCCGCTCTCGCCCTCGTAATCTGTTTCTTCCACCCGTAGCACTGGTTGCACGCTGCACGCACGGGCGTCCGAAGACAGTTGAACGATCAGCGCGCCTGACTGCACGCGAGCGGGACGCACCAGTCGAGCCGTGCTTCTTGCACTGATACTGGCCCTCCTTGTTCACGCTCGACGCCGGGGCCTCGAGGCCCTCGCGGTCGATGGGGTCAAACTGGGCAGTCGCACATCAGGTCAGCAACGTGGCTCTCGAACGTCGCGTGCGGCACTACATACCCCGAAGAAGGCATCGTTCTCCTCCCGTCCGTCGTATGAGCAGTCCGCGCACTGTCGGACGTCGTGTTCGGGTCATGCTATGGAGCGTGGGACGTCCGGCGAACGGTACTCACGACCTCCTTGAAGTGCGGGCAGAAGTAGGCGTCGTTGATCTCGATGGTGGTAGGGGCCTGGGTCTCAGTCATGATGCTCGTTGAACTCTACGCGAGTCTAAAGTCTAACGGTCTACAGCTGAGGCTGCGAAGGGTGGTCGTCCGTCCAGATTATAGGTGGGGGTCGTGCGGAGAACGAGAGGCAAGGGGTGAGAACGGCGTGCGACTTATATAGGGGCGTCCCATGGGTCAGTAGCTGCTATAGCGAGCTATACTGGGCTCGCCGTGTTCCCGCCCGCGTCCTTGCGCGCATAGAGTGGAGTGGCAGGTGGCGGCTTGCGCAGAGCAGATGACCTTGTCACCAGGACGAGGACATCCCCACGACCTCGGAAGACCCAGCCTGACCAGGCCTAACCTCGACCCCCGCCGTATCACATGTGCGGTGTTCCTGTAGCGCTGTCATTGAGTAGCGTTCAGTTCCTTGAGTTCTCATGTTCTCGGTTGCTTGGACCGTGGCAACATGCATCGCGTTCTAATCATCTTGCTCCCCAACAGGACACTTCTCTCTGTGTTAGACGCATATGCGTGCTTCGTGAGGACATGCGACTCCCAAGATGACAGCGACCTAGGATATAAGTGGAGCTTCTACGCATCTACACGCCATCCTCGCCAACCTTGTAGAAGGCACCCCCGAACTCGAGAGCCCCGCAGCTCAGCCCGTCGGCTGTGCGTCCGAGCACGACCTCATCGACAACCTCCCACTGCGACCACGGCCACCGCCGCCTCTCCGCCTTCACATGCACGGTCGCCTGGAAGCTCTCCCGCGCAAAGCCAGGTTCGTGACCCTTGGGCAAGGGCGCAGCCATCCCGATGAACGTCTCTGGGGGTGCCTCGATCGCGACCTCCAAGCGTCGCCTCCACGTCCTGAGCCGGATGGCGACCCCCCCGCTTCGGCTGTCGTGCCTGACGTCCATGAAGGGCGCAAGCTTCCCAACGCCCATCGCGACGGGCGGGCGGAAGTCCCAGTTGCATTTCGGTGAGCGGTAGCCTACGAGGTACGCCTGCACGCCCATGAACGCCCGTCCTCCCGCCATGGCGAACGATCGTGTGCCTTCGTCTGGCTCCCCTCCGACGTCTTCCCCTCCGCCTTCACTGTCAGTCGGCGCGTCAACGCTCCCGTCCGCGTCTGCACGGGGCGGCGCATCGAACGCCTGAGCCCAAATCCATCCAGTGGGAAACGAGTTCCCCCAGTTGTTCTCCACATGCGCCAAGCCGATGCCCCGCACCTTATTCCCATGGTGCGCCACGGCGTACGTCGCACGCGACGCCGTCGAGCGCACATGCCAGTTCAGCGGGAGCAGCGACGATAAGTGCAGGATGCGCCCCATCGGCCCGCGCCGCGGCTGCGCGGGGTCCCAGGGAACGTGCGCGTCGAGCGCGAGGTGGACGTGCAGGTTGCGTTCGGGGACGGAGATGCAGTACTCGACCTCGTCCGCGGTGACTTTCATGTGACCCACTCTGGGCGCGCTGATGGTGAAGCTGGCGTGCGGCTGGCGTGGGGGCCCGACGGTAAGTTCGAAGTTCTCGGGGTAAAACTCGTACTTGAACGCGCGCGAGTCCGCGCATGGGTACGGGAGACCGGGCGTCGTGTCCCCGGGCAGCGTCGTGTTTCCCGTGCTTGACCCTGCGAGCGTGGCAATTGAGGGGCCTTGCGATGGGGGCACGACGGGCGGTCGGACACAGGGCGTGTAGCAGACGAGGACGAGGTTTTTGCGCTCCGGGGCCTTGCGCACCCAACAAAATATGACGGCGAGGGTCGCGCCGTCTGCGAGCTGCACGCGCGTGTAGTATCCGTTGAAGGCGCGCTTGAGATGAGGTGCGTAGTGGTCGCGATGCTGCATGTTCTATGTTCTAATGCCAACTGGTCTCCAGATCAGTACGAACGCAACGATGGAAGGATACCGTCTCCCTGATAGTCTCACCTACCTAGGTCGGGTTTCGCGCTAGACGAGTTGACGCTGTTCGACTTTGATAAATCAAGGAGCACGCTGCTGTCGTCAATTGTCTTGGCCTCTGTCTCGCTCGTCGGGGGCGGCACATCCCACAGTATCGACGCAAAGTCTAAGTACATACGCGTGGCGGGCGCTTGGTGCGGGCTTGGTATGCAATGACGACATCTATTGACAGATCGGGCAACTGCATTTACGAGACGTGAACACAACCGCAATCAGCCATCCTCGTTCACGTTCGGCAGCTGCGAAACGACCCTACCCTTTCGGTCCATACCATTCCCCGCTATCAGCCTTGCTCTGATTCGCCGGAGGGGAGTGCATCATAGGGTGGCTCAGCCTAAGGAAGCGAGTGCTCACGACATGCAGCGTGGCACTAGGCCCTTTGATCAGTTTGCCCCCTAGAAATGCTTCTAATCAACCTGCCAGTGAGTGTTTTCGAGTGCGTCGCACAGAGAAGTATCGCGTTGTCCGATTGACTCACTTGTAGGGCTGTCGCGCCACCGCCGGTTTCCATACCTCGCCGTTTCCATCTTTTTTGCCCAAGCGACCGACGTCTCTTGCCTTGCAATCTGATCAGAAATCTATCATGTAGAAGATATATTAAGATGGACGCTCCTAACATCTCGGAGCTCCTCTTGTCTGACATGATCATGAGCAACCTAAGTGACCTCTTGCATACCTTTACCGTCCAAGGAGACTGGGGCTTCTACCTGTTGAGGGTCAACAAGGTGCTGTCCTTTGCTTCTATATCTGAGCTATGCTTACGACAATGCTTCCAGTACTTCAAAGGTGCGCTGCAAGTCTCAACATTCTCCGCAGATGAGGGACCTGCCAACCCGATTCTTTCAAGCCGCCTCAGTAACTCTCTTGGTGAGGACATCTCTTCGATCGGCCTCCCTCCATGTTCTCATCTCGCGCAAGGTTCTGGAGGCCTTCTCTACGCTCCCCGACGAAGTCAGACAACTTCGGATGTATGCTACTTCGGACTGATAGGAACTCGGACAGGTTGCTCTCGTGTGGACCTCCGATTTCAGTGCCCTCAATGTCCTCTTCTTTCTCAACAAATACTGGCCATTCGCAGAAGAGATAATTGACCAGATAAGTGCGTCCAGCATAGGGAGAACTGTCTAGGAGTATTGTTGACGTACGGTGATCAGTGGCTTTCGGCGTTACAAGCAATCTACACGTCAGTTGTTACTATACGTCCCAACAGCTTCGTCGTCGCTCACTACTACTTCACAGCTATGTATGATACACTGGGGCGTGTTGTCGTGTAAGTGCGATGCTCGCGTACATTCTGCCATAGGATATAAAATTCGGACAGGGACATATCTCGCGGGCACGCTATGCTCTGAAGGTGAGAACCAACAACGTGTTACATATTCAACTCAAATCACCGCTGCATTCCGTAGCTATTCTGCTGGTTAGAACCGGAGCAATCTGGGGGTGGAGCAAATACATCATCTTGCTGTTGGGCGGAGGTGTCGCCTCGATTCTCGTGAGTGACATGGTATCTGTGCTCTAGGCCCCTCTGAACGCAATGTACTAGCTCTTTTGCTTCTATGTTGTATACACTTCGAACATCCACGTACAATGTGAAGTTTCTTCTGTCTCCACAGTCATCATATGCTTACACACGTGCGACGCAAGTCCCTCCGGAGAGTATGATGCGCATGACGGGATGCATTGCTGCCGATACCGAGGTCTGGCCTGCGTTTGTGGGCATGTGCCTTGGCGAGATCGGTGAGCATCAAGCCTTCTCTCCTCAGGCGGTATCCGCCCACAGCAGCTTATGAATCTTATCCATGATCAGCGATCTTCACGTTGACATTCATGAAGTGGTACCAGGAACGGCTGGCTAGTACGCGTATATCGGTAAGGACCCAGGCGCTCCTCCGTGGCTTACAGTATTGTTTAGTTCCAGGTGCGACCCGCAGTAATCTGCTCACGGTGATGTACCATGACGGTAAGAACGCTTTACTTCGGAAGGCGTGATCAATCCTGTGTTGATCACCCCGAAATCGTACAGGAGCCTTGGCCTACCTGGTCGTGAAAGGTGGGTTCCTCGCATACTACCTCGAGCATGCGATTGTATCTCATATTGTATCTGGACTGCAGCGGTCTGGATTGCCAACTTACTGATGACAGTCCTCGCACCAGTGAGTCAGCCGCTCTCACACGCATCGATGGATCTGGCATGATCTTCGTCGTCTTCAGGTGGAACTATCCACATCCTTGATGATGTGAGTTCGTCGGTGGACCGTTCAAAGGAAAGAATGGAAAAATTGATACAGGGTTCTATAATAGGCCTCTCCGTATCGTGCATAGTACCGTGTGCACGAGGGTGCTACTGAACATCCGCAAATTTGCCGCTGCTCGACGTCGTGGCGGGACCAGTCTGGAGCAGTCAAGAGCATGGGACCTGGCCGCCCAATCCTGTCCCTTTCCCGGAGAGGACAGACACGACCCCCCAACTCATGAAGACCAACCAATACCACCAGCACCGAGACCGATGATGATCTCCCCATGAGCACTGCATTACTTGACTCGCGTCTTGGACAAGCCACAGCGGAATTGAGTGGAAATATGTCGCGACGATAATTTATTGGGTCTTATTGATTCGGAAATACATCCGTCCACGTTGTACTCTCATTAATAACCAGGGTCTGCCCTAGTTGTAATCAACAGAGGAGAATGGCAAGAAAGTGTCGCTTTCGGTCACTCACTTAGGTCCTCCATATAGTGGCCTTCGAGTTGGTGGCGAGACTCAAGTACAGGAAATCTAGAATGGGCTCCAGAGAGCGTAACTCACGGCTCAATATCAACTCCACAAATTGATAACCTCGAGCAGAAACATTGGATCGTCGGGGCTCAGGAGGGCTGACGTATTTGAGCCCTACTACCAAACAACTCCTATCTCTGATCCTTTGGACCTTATGGTTGGAAACCTCGAAGGAGTCCGTCTCAGACACTTCGCAGTCATCCCTTCCGGAGGTGCCCGCTCAGTATTCTGGTAAGTAGAGACATGCATGGGCAGGAGAATTCCTGGTGTCACCGTCCATCAGAAGCTGCTGAGCGCCATTTTCCGGGCTGACCGGGAAAACCGTGCGACGTGGCGCTGGCTGTGTCGTACCTCTCCTCGTTCACCCCCGCGCTGCATTCGACAGCTACACGGCCTGGATCTGGATCCTGCTGTGCTATCTCGTCTCTTTCTCTTGGCTGAAGAGAACTTGACATCAATGTCGGCCCTCCTAATTCGCTGAAGATGCTCTGCCGCGCATATCCGGACGATGAGCTCATGGCGACCCGTCGTTTTCGCGTGTAATGGACTGCTTGTCCGGTGCTCCGGGTTGTAGCTTGCAGACCTTGTAAGTCAGAAACACACTCTCAAACAATCGGCGGGCGCGGTTATGAGCCGTGGTAATGTCTAGATGAGCGGTAAGTAGCATCCTACCCTCGAGTGTTCCATCCTGTCGAGCACATGGCCTTTGTGCGTCTTTTATACCTTTTGACTTCCTGCGCTGTCATGCCTTGACTTGAGACACAAGTATGCCCGTGCTTTCCTTCACCGGTGAATCACCATTCGCGTCCTTCAGTGCTTCATCTGATCTTTTGCTCTTGTTTTTTCTTTTTCGAATTTGTGCACGTGTTCATTCTTGGCGCTGCATAGTAATTCCCCAGTGCTCATCGCTTGTAGAACACCCGAGAGAAGCTCAGTACTTCCGCTCTGGTCTCAAGCTCCAAAACTCCAGTGCATATATTGGAAACGAAATCATATTGTGCTGAGTGGCGGTGGCCTGTGTCCAAAAGATGCCACGGTCACTATTCAATGCAGTTACAAGACGACCATCCAACTCACTGCGCTTCTGGACTTCGCGGCACGCTTGGGGCTGTTGAGCTCTCAGCCTCGCAAAACAGTGCCTCAGACTGCGTGAACCGAACAGCAATCTATGCATACATCCGCTAGCTTCCGTCTGTGTCCGGTGGATCTCGGACCTCCCTCCGGACGCCAGTGGTTCACGATGTTGGTCGCTCCGGGCTGTGTGCCTTTGAGTCTTCTCAGCATGACCACTTTCTCACAGGCTCTAAGTCTGGCCGCGAGCGAGGTGACAGCAAGAACACAACTCGTCGGACATGCCGTGAATCCGGCGGAGAACTCACGTAGTCCGCGTGTCGAACCTCGGGCATCTAGTGGTTGGTTCGGAGAGCCTGCGCTACAGACCTTTTCCGTGTGGCTATATGTGTTCCCGTACCGTGGACACTTGGTCATCTCAATTTATCTTCGGCGGACACGTCCTTGTCTTCTGGCGTCTTTGACCCGTCTTCTGGGAACAGTTGACGGGAGCTGGCCACTGAACACCGCTATAACCGGTTTCCATGCTTGGACCCTTCTTGACGAGATTTGGCCCGCCGAGGCCTTGCGTATGTCTAATCCCCAGGAGCGAAGGTTGGGATAAAAGGAGTGGACGTGCATTCTAGTTGAGCTTCCACTCCTCGCAATGTATGCCAGCTTCCCTCCGACCCTAGGCCAAAATGTCTACGGCGTTGGCGGATACTCCGATCTCTATCTGCTGAGAGCTTCTAAGGTATGCTGCCTAGAATTCATCGGTTCAGCTCACCTGACCAAAATCGTTGTTAGTACGTCAAAGGTACTCCCTTCCGCTTTCGCCGTGATGTATGCGGGAGCTAACGTCAGTGTATTGCAGTGTCATCAGGAACCCTTTTGGTGGAGTTCTTTATGTCCTCTATTCTCCATTACATATGCTGACTCATGCTAGTTACTCGAAATACTGTCGACCCTCCCCGACGAGGTACCTGTTGTCCTTTGTTGGTGGGGCCATGTAAGGTTTGTACTGATCAGGCACGACAGGCTGCTTTCGTGTGGCCAGGAAGGATGAGCATTTCCAAAGCTCTGTACTTGTTCAACAAGTACTCGCCCCTCGTGGACCAGACACTGGATATAGTCAGTGAGTCACCTCTCGATATTGCTCTCAGAGGACGTAAGGCCCATCTCGGTGTTGTCCAGCGATCTTCCAAACACCCGCACATTTACAGGTCAGGACCCGCTTCCAAGTGTCCATACCGCTGCTCACGAAGAAATCCATAGCTCTGCTTATCGCATTACAAGGTCATCTCTAGTTAGTATTCCCTTCACTCAGCGTCAACCTGGACCGTCATGCCATGTCATTCATATTTCAAGGCTTCTACTTCATCGGCACGATTTGTTCCGAAGGTGAAGCGTGGGGTCGAGCTACTAATACCGCTGTTGAAATGCTGATAGAACAACTCGCCAGCTATCTTGCTCGCCAGAACGATCGCTCTATGGGGATGGAACAAGTACGTACTGGCCTTACTTGCCGGAGGAGCGAGCGCCATTGGGGTAGGTGCTTGCACTTTCTGTGACATGCCCTTCTTGACCATATCATAGATGGTGTGCGTCTATGCCGTTTATCAGTCCAACCTATACGTAGAATGTGAGTATTTCGACCGATCTTAGTGATGTGTCGAATCACAAGCATCTAGTTCCTGCGGAGAATGCATCACGTCTCATTGAGTGTGTTCCAAGCAACCCGGATGCTTGGCCAGCATTAGCGTGCATGGTTCTCGGGGACACCGGTTAGGAACTATCTTGTTCCCATAAGCCACAAAGCGCTGAAGATCATTCCTGCACTATGCCTAGTTATCATCGTATTGACCTTCGTACTATGGTACAGAGAACGCAGAGCAGGTCGGTTTTGACAGTGTATTTCTTGTCGCCATTCCTCTAATGATTGTTGTGTATAGTTCCGAGTGCCGCGATAGGAACATTGTTTCCTACTATATACCGCGACTGTGAGTGAGATCGGAAGATGCATTTCAGAATAATTATTGACTACAGTGTTACCGAAGGCGCGCTAGCTTATCTGTTCATAGGGAGTACGCTTCTCAAATCTTATGATCTCCTGCCCTCGTTGCTGACGAATGCGTGCTTTCAGCGATCTCAGTGGCCAATCTCCTGGTGCTCATGCTCGCCGAAGTAAACACTATATTCACTACTATGTGCTTGTGCAGACTGCTGAGTCCGTGCTGCATTTTTAGCCGGAGTTTTCCTCAGCGATGGAGATGTAAGCCTTTATGCTAGTGGATGGTCTGTTTCTGTGCTAATTCTCGATGAAAGGCCCCTTAGGGTAGTACATAGCACCCTCGTCACACGGGTTCTGCTCAACCTCCGTGGTTCCGCTTCCAAGACCTCCGGAGACACGTCATATAGGGAGCAAACGAGGGTCACGACGATTGGCTGGGAACTGGCCACCAGTGGGATGCCACAGGACTATTCATCTCTCAGAAATGTTGAAGATTTCGGAAACACCATTTGACACTGCCTGTTGCTTGTTGACTTTCATTCTTTCGGATTGTTCTTGCAAATGAGCGCGACAATTATGTGAAATCGGCGAGGGATATGACCGCGGCGCACTTTCGGAGCCTTCAGGGACATGAACAGCCGGGCGAAACACTTACAATACAGCTGACTAAACCGACTCTAATCACAGATACTAAGTACCGTCCAGAGACGCCTCAAGAGGAACTTGCAGCAGTGGGCTGCGAGCCTTTGTCGTCATAAGTACGAATTCCAAACTATACTCCGCCCCGCGCAGGCCCATTCTGTATGCAATACAAAAGTCCAGTTTCTCATTGTTGAAGAGCAGGGGTATCGGCGAAGAGCGTGTGGAATAGGCGTGCCGGGTACCGGTCGCCAGGCACAGAGGCCCCATCCGCAAGGCGGCGGACCTCCGCAACGTCTCCGGGACTCAGCTTCACGTCATATGCACCAAGGTTCTCTTTCAAGTTCTGCACAGTAAGGGGTGTCAAGATCGCTCATCGAGGTATCTCAAACGTACGCGACTCACGTCGAACTTTGTCGTGCCCACAATAGGGATGATGTCCTCGCCTTGTGCGAGCACCCAAGCAAGAGCGACCTGGCCGGACGATGCACCGTATTTCTCCCCGACTTTCTTCAGGCCTTCCGCGATCTTGAGAATGCTCGGGAAGTTCTCCTTCGAGAACCGCGGAATAGTTCTACGGAAGTCGGTTGGAGGGAACTGATCTGGATCTGTCTGTAACATAAGATGGCTCAGCAGGGAAGGAGGCGTTCGACTTTGGTATCCTTACATATTTGCCAGTGAGGAGTCCACGCCCGAGCGCTCCGTAAGCGACGATCCTGACCCCAAGCTCGCGGGCAGCTTTCAAAAGGCCGATCTTCTCATCCTCGATCTCGGTCGTGAAGGGCGAGTACTCGACTTGGACAGCTGCAATAGGGTGTATGGCGTACGCACGACGAAGAGTGTCCGCGCTGACTTCGGAGAGACCGAGGTACCTGACCTTGCCAGCCCTACAGGGAGATGATTGTCAGTTCTACTAAAGTATGCAGGATCTACAAATGCAGACGCTCACTTCACCTGCTCCGCCATCGCCTTCACAGACAGTTCTATCGGTACTTTAGCATCGGCCCTGCGATCTATGTCTTCAGCGTCTGTATACTTTTCAGCTGACGAGTGCAAGCGCACCTGTGCAAGTACAACAAATCGACGTAATCCACGCCGAGTTGCTCCAAGGATCTCTGGACTGCCTTCGGCACGTAGTCAGGGTCGCCATTGATAGTACGAGTCTCGTCGCCCTCCCAGTGGTGACCAAAGCCGAATTTTGTGGCAAGGAAGATCTCATCTCGCTTTCCTGTACGCTTGAACCTGCATGCATCTCAGGAACCAGTATCGAGCGTTCTGATAATCAGGTGAACTAACCACTGTCCGATAATGTATTCGCTGTTGGAATAGGCATCCGCAGTGTCCCACTGCGTTACCCCACTTGCGTACACGCCATCGAGGACCTGAACAAAACACTGGGCATTAGGGGATAGTCCATGGGAATGTGTAACTATGCTCACCTTAAGGGCTTCCTCGATGGTCAGAGGAGTTCCATAGGCTGCAGCTATTCCCATCGCACCATAGCCGATGGCGGGGAAGGTCTTATCGCCGATGGTTCGCTTCAAAATCGCGCCAGGCATCGTTTAAACTTGTGGTCACTGTCAGTGGATAGGAGAGAGGGTTTGATGTTGCGGCCTGGGGTTTCCTTGCCTGATGAGAACATCGTATATCAAGGTATCCACTTTTCCGACCGGAGTCAATCAAGCTCTTCCCTCACCTTACTTACGATTTGCACTATTGTCCGAACGGAGAATAGACCCGGACAGCGCAGTGGATTGATCCTGGTGAGTCAGACCTTCAGCTTCGAGTCGAAGCACTAAGTGGATCCCGAAGGTAGTCCGTCATCCTCGCCTGCTGCTTAAAATACGTCTTGCGATGGGTGGCGGTCATTGCATCCGCTGAGAGCGCTGCCTCTCGCTGCGTACGGCGAAACCGTCGATACCTCAGGCGCTTGAGTGAGTGGCTGTGCTGCGAGCATCGTCTGCAGGGGCCGACGCTCGGACCCGACAGGGAGTGCTGCCTGCTCACGCTGTTGGTGCTAAACTGTTCCCGTTTGCCGTCAGGCAATTAGCGTGTACATATTGACGTGCAATAACTCCAAAGGTTCCGGATGGCCCCCACGTTGGAGCCTCGTAGTTCTGCTAATCTCCAATCGCCGGCCCGGAGTCGTCATCCCTGAAGGAATGATGCACCTCAGAAACAAATCATGGACATCGCTATCGCCATACGTACGCATGCTCTACCTGATTCGTTCAAAACGTACACGGGGGAGGCATGACCGTTTGCAACATTCCGACATGGGCACATGCCTATGTCGGGCCCTAAGCCCGGGCCCGCCCACTGCCCGGACCGCAGGTCGCGAGTCACCTATAGCAAGAGGAGAGTCAGCACACCCCCACCTCACGGTAACGCCGTCGACGGTGAAAATGGTCAATGGCGACCAAAGCCCAACATATATTGAGGACTCGACCTGCTCTCGCCGTTGGCTTCTGACCGCCATTACCAGCGCACACCAACATGCGTAAAGCAAACCTCTGGCTCCCCTCCCTCTTCGCGCTATGCAACGTCGCGACGGCGGCGGAGGCCGCATGCATAGATCGCTATGCCATCATCTCGCCCTACAATCCCGTTCGAACCGCGTCCAGCACCAGCACGCCTGTGCAGGTCACTGCAGCGGCCACTTCGCGTCCGGGGCGGACGCCGCCACGCTGCAGACGTTCAATCTTGGTACACATCAGTAGCATTGTCGTAAACATTTCAAATCCTCGGAGACAGTGTGCCTAGCAATCTTAGACTATACCCCACCTTGGCAGACCCATTCTGTATTCGATACACAACTCCCGTTTCTCACTGTTGAAGAGCAGGAGTATCGGCGAAGAGCGTGTGGAACAGGAATGCCGGGTACCGGTCGCCAGGCACTGACGCCCCATCCGCAAGGCGGCGTACCTCCGCAATGTCTTCGGGGCTCAGCTTCACATCATATGCGCCAAGGTTCTCCTTCAGGTTCTGCACGAGAACTGGTAAACTCACTAATCAGGGTATTCTGAGCGCGAGAGACTCACATCGAGCTTCGTCGTGCCCACAATAGGGATGATGTCCTCTCCTTGCGCGAGCAACCAAGCAAGAGCGACCTGGCCGGACGATGCACCGTATTTCTCCCCGACTTTCTTCAGGCCTTCTGCGATCTTGAGAATGCTCGGGAAGTTCTCCTTCGAGAACCGCGGGATCATCCTGCGGAAGTCGGTTGGAGGGAACTGCTCCGGATCCGTCTGCACGATGGCTCAGTAAAACCCTCTCGGCAGAAGGAGCCGTTCGACTTTGATATTCTTACATATTTGCCAGTCAGCAGTCCACGTCCGAGTGCTCCATAGGCGACAACCTTAACCCCGAGCTCGCGGGCAGCTTTCAAAAGGCCGATCTTCTCATCCTCAATGTCGGTCGTGAAGGGCGAGTACTCGACTTGCACGGCTGCAATAGGGTGCACGGCGTGCGCACGACGGAGAGTGTCCGCGCTGACCTCGGAGAGGCCAAGGTACTTGACCTTGCCTGCCCTGCAGCGAGACGGCCATCAGTCTGACCAGCTATGTAGTTATCACAATGTCGATGCTGACTTCACTTGCTCTGCCATCGCCTTCACAGTCAGTTCGATTGGTACGTTAGCATCGGCCCTGTACTCTGCACCTTGAGCATCTGTAAGGCCCTCCGCGGCCGTGTGCAAACGCACCTGTGCAAGTACCACATATCAACGTTCTCGACGCCGAGTTGCTCTAAGGACCGCTGAAGTGCCTTCGGGACGTATTCAGGGTCGCCGTTGATGGTACGAGTCTCGTCGCCCTCCCAGTAGCGACCTAAGCCGAACTTGGTAGCTAGGAAGACGTCATTTCGCTTTCCCGTACGCTTGAACCTGCAAGGAAAATTCAGGACCCAGTATCAAGCGTTCCAGCTGGATACGTGGACTCACCACTGTCCTATAATGAATTCATTGTCGGAATAAGCGTCCGCAGTGTCCCAGTGTGTTATCCCACTCGCGTACACGCCATCAAGGACCTGAGTACCACACTGAGTGTTAGGGGATAGTCCACGGGAATGTGCAGCTATGCTTACCTTAAGAGCCTCCTCGAGGGGCAGAGGAGGCCCATAGGCTACAGCTATTCCCATTGCGCCATAGCCAATGGCGGGGAAGGTCGCATCGCCGATGTTTCGCTTGAGAATGGTGCCAGGCATCGTTAGAAATTGTGGTCGCTGAGTTGAAGAGAGCGTCTGATGTCACTACGTGGTTCCCGATGGGTACACCGTATATGTAAGGTAACCACTTTTCCGACCGGACTCAACCAAGCTCCCTCTTTCCCTTACGATTTGCACTATTGTCCGAACGGAGAATAGAGTGCAGCGTTGATTGGTCCTGGTGAGTCAAGCCTTCAGCTTCGACTCGGGGTGCCTAGTGCATCCCGCCATTCTCGCCTGCTGCTTGAAGTAAGTCTTGCGATGGTTGGCGTTCATTGCATTCAGAAGCGCTACGTACGAAAGCACCGACATGGAGGGAGTGCTGCCTGCTCACGCCGTTGGCGCTATCTTGATTCCGTTCGCCGTCAGGCAGTCAGTATGTAGATATTGACGTGCAGCGACCCGCAAACATGCCGGACGACGCCCACTTTGGAGTTTCTTCGGTTTGTAATTCTCCAATCTCCGGCCGGAGTCGTGTTCCCTGCCGAAGTCGTTCGTCATTCCTGCCAGAGTCGTGTTCCCCGCCGGAGTCGTTCGTCATTCCTGCCGGGATCGTCATCCCTGCCGGAGTCGTCATCCCTGAAGAGATAATACCTCCGAAACAGATCATGGACATCGCTATCTCCATACGTACGTATGACATGATGTATACCCTTTCAAGCCGTGCAGCAGAGGCATGGCTATTTGCGCTGTTTCGACACGGTCACATGCCTATGCCTCCTAAACCTGTCCACCGCTCGGCCCGCGGCGCGCAAGTCACCTGTCACAAGACGATCAGCACACCCCCACCGCTTGACCTCACAGAGCTACAACCGTCGGTAGCAGGAAAACGGTCGATCGCGACCAAGCCCGACATATATCGAGGACATGTCCTGTCCTCTCGCTGTTGGGCTCTGACCGCCACCACCAGCGCACACCAACATGCGTACAGCAAGACCCCAGCTCCCCTCCATTCTCTTCGCGCTATGCACCGTCGCAACGGCGGCGGCGCGCATAGATCGCCACGCCATCGTCTCGCGCTACAACCCCATTCGGACCGCGTCTAGCACGAGCACCCCCATGCAGGTTGGGAACGGCCACTTCGCGTTCGGGGCGGATGTCACCGGGCTGCAGACCTTCCTCCCGTGGGCGACCATGTCCGACTGGGGCTGGAAGAACGACTCGCTGCCCGAGGGGACGACGCAGGCGGACGTGGACGCGTACAGGGGCGTGGTGTGGGACGGCGTGCAGTATATGTTCGGGGGCCCGCAGCCGATGCAGCAGTGGATGATCTCGAATCCGAACAGGGTGAACTTGGGCAGGGTGGGGCTGCTGTTCTTGGACGGGCACGGAGCCGCAGTGGACGTGACAGAGGGCGAGTTGGCGGGGACGCGGCAGGTGTTGGACCTGTGGACGGGCACGATCACGAGCAGCTTCCGGTGGCAGGGCGAGAGCGTCACGGTGCAGACGGTCTCTGCGCAAAGCAGCGATGTAGTCGGCGTTACAGTCACCTCTCCGCTCGTCCAGCAGGGTCGGCTCGGGATCTTCCTCGACTTTCCGTGGAACGACGGCACGTCAAAGTTCGAGGCGCCCTTCGTCGGCGTGTGGAATGCGACGGCCAACCACACGACGACACTCACGACGGGGAAGGGGTTAGGACAAAACGTCGACGCGGTTGTCGCGCACACCTTGGTCAACAGCACGTTCTTGACCTATGTTGGGGGCGGTAGTAGCTTCGCCATCTCGCGGGTGTCCCCAGAAGAGCATCGCTACAACATCGTTCCGCGTCGGCCGGCTAAGTCGTTCTCCATTGCAATAGCGTACGCCCCGGGATCCATTCCGGCGCTGCCGACGGTGAGCAGCATACGCCGCGAGTCGACGAAGACGTGGGAGTCGTTCTGGTCCGACCATGGGTTTGTTGACGTCGTAACCGGGTCGAGCAACTCGAGCGCGAACGAGCTCCAGCGACGCATCATCCTCTCGCAGTACTTGCTGCGCGTCAACGAGGCTGGGGATAATCCCCCGCAGGAGGCACGTAAGATCATCGCGCGCTCCTCGTGACGTATACTGACTCGCATCCAAGTCGGGCTTGGTAAACAACGGCTGGGTCAGTGAACAACGCTCCGCTTCGCACGCACGTACTGACCTTCTCATCACAGTACGGCAAGTTCCACATGGAGATGTTCTTCTGGCACAGCGCGCACTGGGCACTCTGGAACAACTGGGATCTCCTCGACCGCGCAACCGGCTCCTATGCTCGATTCCTCTCCACCTCCCTCCAACGCGCCCAAGTCCAAGAAGGCTATTCCGCCGGAGCGCGCTGGTCGAAGATGACAGACCCGTCCGGGCGCTCCGCCCCAGGACAGATCAACGAGCTGCTCATCTGGCAGCAGCCGCACCCGCTCGTGTTCGCCGAGTACGAGTACCGCGCGACGCGCTCGCGGACGACGCTCGAGAAGTGGCGGGACGTCGTGCGCGCGACGGCGGACTGGATGGAGGTGTACGCGACGCGGAACGAGAGCACGGGGCTCTTCGACCTGGGGCCGCCGATGTACGTTGTGGCGGAGGACACGGCGCCGAACGCGACGCGGAACCCGGCGTTCGAGCTCGCGTATTGGCGCTTTGGGCTCGGGCACGCGAGCACGTGGATGGAGAGGCTGGGCGAGCGCGTGCCGAGCGCGTGGACGGAGGTGCGAGAGAACCTCGCGCCGCTCCCGATCGAGAACGGGCTGTATGCGGTGTACGAAGGGATCCCGAGCGACTTTTGGGACACGCCGGCGTACACGAACGACCACCCTGCGCTCGTCGGGTTGTACGGATGGTTGCCGCAGACGGCCAACGTGAGCCTCGACATCGCGAAGGCGACCGCAGAGAAGGTCTGGACGACCTGGAACATCAGCAATTGCTGGGGGTGAGCATTCGTCGCGCACGAAGGTTGCAGCAGTGGTACTGACTGACCGGCGTACTGTACGAACATCAGATGGGACTTCCCAATGCTAGCGATGTCCGCGGCGCGCAACGGGGAGACAGAGAAGGCCATCGACTGGCTTCTCCACCCATTGTTCGAATTCGACGATATTGGGATGCCGGTCGGCGGAGTGCGAGTTCCGACGCCCTATTTCCCGGGATCGGGAGCTCTGCTGTATGCGATTGCAATGATGGCAGAAGGATGGGACGGGAGCAATGGCACTGCTCCTGGCTTTCCTCAAGAAGGCTGGGAGGTGCGAGTGGAGGGTATCAGTAAATCATTGTAAGAAGTGGTGTATCGTACTGAATCCTGTCCGGTTGGTAAGTTAGGATTTGTGATGGCAGCAGGATAAGTTGAGCAGGCTATGAACAGAGAAACTGCTTTGTCTCTCCGTCCATAGCTCATACAAAACAGATTACGTGCAGTTTCAACTGGCAGGTTACCTGCATAGAAACCTCATGAGGTACATGTGTCGAGACAACGACTTCACGGATGATTTGTACCCATAGTGGCGATTTCGCCTCAAGATGGCTCAAGTCCGGTCGGAGAAACGCAAAGTCAATTTGTCTCGACCTCTGAGGATATGTAGTGTGTTGAAGGGCGCGATGGAGCCCGAAATCAAAGGCAGACGTTGAGTGTATAGCCGAGAAAAGCAGAATCGCAGTACCAGTTTCGTGTTCAGAATGGGATGGTCAGAGTACAGGTCGACTTTAAATCGATCCAGGATTTCAGGATCGCCTCGGAATCGTGCACTCTGACCACCCCTAATATTCGGATCTTAGGGCGACTTCGATGGGTGAGAACAGGTACGTTGTGCTTTTAGTTAAGTCACCTTCCTATAAGGGCGGTTGGCCAAACGAGGACAGAATCGAAGCCGCAGTAGACACGACGTCAGGATCAGCTGCCCACCGGTCGTGGGCGGCGTGACCTCCTCGCCTGCGTGCATAGACGCAAGCAGAGCCTTATATTGACACAGAGAGCGGCCTAGGAGAGTTCACCTCGCTCTCGTCTCTCCCTCACCAACCCGAAATAAGACGCACCTCTTCTTCCCCGCCTCACGATGGCCACGGCACAGCCCCTATCGTCGAGCAGACATACGACATTAGCGTTCCTCCTGCTTTCCGGCAGTTGAACTTCTTCCGAGATGCGCCGAACCTGCGGGATCGTCTGGATCGGCTCTCGCCTTCCAGCCCTCATCCTCGCCATGCCCTGGCGGAAATGAGTCAATCCAGGCTGACCGCGCCCATCCAAACGATAGGAATCCGTTCCGGTAAGCGCGGTTGCGTGCTCTATCGGCAGAAGGCTGGACAGTTGTCGGGGACGTGCGAGAGCACAACATCCTGCTCTCTGTATTGGTCATCGCTAAAGTCACTGAACTCATACTGCAGGTACTGGTCACCGGGTGCTTCCGGTTCGGAAAATGGTGTGCAGTGGCGTCGAGGAGAGTGTTTAGCAAGGACTCCAGCGGAGAGACTGGGAGCGTACGACGCACGAATGCTCGTGCACCAGGGCGATGCCGGAGCGCCGACTCACGTGACGGCTCCCGTAATCCTCGGAGTACCGGAAGGTGCGGTGACGATGACGGCAAGCAACGGAACGCGACCGCAGAGCATGATTGCAGGAGCGCATCTCCTCATTCGCTCGCAACAGAAAAAGTTGCCTTGTCGCACTATCTTTGTCCTGTCCCCCATCCCGTCGTGAGCCTGCGAGTCAGCTCCCCCCCTTCTCTCGCCTCCTCCACGCACTCATACTTTCCTCAAGATGACCCCTACCCTGCTTACGCTCAACTACGACGTTCTCTCGGACATCCTGGGGCGCATCTCGCCACGCGATGCTGCACAGCTGGCTCTGACATGTCGCCATGCGTATACCCTGGCCTTCCCCCGCTTCCTCTCCGACGTATCGTTCGGCGGCCTCTATCACAAGACTAGTAGCAGCGCCGTCTCCCAGTTGAAGGACTTCTGCAACTTTGTCCTCGCCCCCGCGCCCAGCTGGCACGGTCCTCCTTCAGCGCGTCTCGACGCCCTCCGCTCCCTGGAGGTGATGCGTGACGCCGTGCGCGTCAGGCAGGATGGCGTATGGACGACCGACGCGTCCGCCGTCGCGCTTCTATCCTCTGTCCTCAGCCGTGCCCAGAACTTGCGCAAGCTGACGCTCTGGGGCTCCGAGGCGCTCTTCAACGCGTACCCCGACTTCGGCCTGAGCAGCAGCGCGTCCATCCACACCCTCGTCCTCGGCGGCGACGTCGCGCCCCTCCCCGCCCTCGCCCACGCCTTCCCGACTGTCCGCCAACTCATCTTCGTCGGCGGGGGCGTCTGCATCCCGGAGTGGGCGTTCGAGTCGCAGCCCGTGGACACCGACGTTCTCGGCGCGTGGCGCGGCTCTGTCGAGCGTGTCGATACCGGGTTCCCTATCCTCCCCCTCGCCGTCCCCGCGCGTCGCGTCGACATTCGCAATCCTATTGTGTCAGACGTCGACGCTGTCCAGTGCGCGCGCGAGTTCCTGGGAAGGACGCGCCCGGTCGTCCTGTCTACCGTCATGAGCGCGTATGCTGCAGCCGAGGAGGTCGGGACCGTGCTGGGGCTGGCTGCGTCCAGCCTGCGGTACCTCGACCTAGTCGGTGACAGGTGCGAGAGCGTCAAGGATGGCACGGAGTGGGTCCAGGTATGTCTCCATTGCTGTCTAGCCTATGTGAATCTCCGCTAACAATATGCACACTGCACAGACACGCGTTGCGAACGCCCTATCCCTACTGCCCGACTTCTCCCTCCTCGGAGTCTCAATCTCAGTCACGCCTGCCTTCGTGTCCGTGCTGGACACGTGGAAGGCGCCGTTGACGGCACCCGAGCCTCCGCGCCCGGACCCGCCGACCACCGTCGACTTCGCTGCGCTCGCGCGTGCTGTCGCCGAGGGCGCGCCGTCGCTGCGGTTCGTCGCGATCGACCTGTCCGCCGCCAAGGGGTCGAGCGACGGCCAGCGCGCTTGGTTCCGGGTGCTCGAGGCCAGAAGTGGGCCTCCGCGACGGGTCGTGAGAGTGGGGGAGGAAGAGGGGAGGGCGATCGCTGAGCGGATGAGGGGCTTCGACCGATATGACTGAGCTGGCAGGTGGCGAGTATCTGGACGTTCGATCCCTCGATGGTTCCTTCTTCTATGCTACATGATAGACCATAGACTGCGCCATGGGGAGATAGGCTTTGTTAGACTAGAACCTAATATTCGTTGCGAGTGGTTGTCTAATGTTTGCTGCCTCGTATGCGAAATAGAAAGATCGACGTAGACACATTTCGAGTTTTCTCCTACATTCCGACTTCCTTGGGCTCCTGAAACGGTCTCTACTACCTATGTATGCCGTTCCGATCACTGTTATCGTCTTCCTCTATCACGGGCTTGGATCAGACTGCATGCTTTGGTTGGTCATAGTAATACATAGTATACTGAGATGGTGTACATTTGCGTGGCTGGCTTCCTATCTTACAACGCGTCTGCAGACTCTGCTCTGAGACGTCTTCCCGCATCCAGAATGCTAGTAGCTGAACTTCTGCTCTGCGCTTGCCTCGCCGACGGCCTCTGCAAGATGTCGCGAGAGCCCGTCCGCCATCGCGCCAGAATCCGACGTGACGTTGATCTGCACGTACAGAAGATGAGATCCTGTGTTCCATTCGCTGCGAGCACTGCGCGATAGGTATCATACCATGTCGAAGCCCTCCTTCGCACGCCTTGCGGACTGCGCACCCGACGTGCAGTATATCGCGCTGAATAAAGCAAAAAAACGAAAAGGAGGGGTGAGCGGCCGGCGATCATATGAACAGGGGCGGAAGAGACGGACCACTTCTTGCCCTTGGCATGTGCGGCCGCAAGGATGTGCTGGATCATCTTCTCCGCCTCCGGATGGGGGTCCGGCGACGGCGGCGGCAGCCCGTGCGAGAGCGAGAGGTCGTACGGGCCTATGAAGACGCCGTCTGCCGGCGCGAGTTTCATACAATCAGCGTCCCTCCAATACAGTGCGTGGAGCGCGTGCACGACACGACATGACTCGGACTGGGGACGCGAATATTGGACACTGACCGAGGCCGTCGACGGACAGGATCTCGTCGAGGTTCCGGTACCCGTCGCGCGTCTCGATCTGGACGAGCACGACGACGGAGTCGTTCGCGCGCTGGAGGTAGTCCACCGCGGACACGCCCGCGCCCCACGCGAGCTGCGTGAACGGGTTCCCGAAGCCGCGTGCGCCCTGCGGCGGGAAGCGCGCCGCGGCGACGATCGACGCGGCTTGTGCGCGGCTGGAGACCTGTGTGTGTACGTGTCAGTGTGCTCATTTAATCCACCCTCCTCAGCCTCACGCCGATCGTGTGGCGGAATCGGCGTGCGTACTTAGACGGAAGGCCGACGCACCATCGGGACAAGCACGCCCCGCGCGCCCTGGTCGAGCACATACTTGATCTGCCAGCTCGCGCTGCCATCGGCACACGCGCCCGTCGCAGGGATGCGCACGATCGTGCTCGGGGCGTCCGGGCCCAGGCCCGCGATGGCGTGCACGGAGTCGCCGGCGCCGGGGTGGAGGCCGGTCAGGCCGTGCTCGCAGTCGATGACGACCCAGGAGAGGTGCGGGGACGCGGAGGCGGCCGCGCGCGCGTTGAGCGCGCCGGGGAGGGTGATCCACGCCCCGAAGGCGGGCTTGGAGGCGCGGAGGGCGTGGAGGAGCGGGTGGGCGAGGTGGGCGACTGGGGTGGCCATGCGAGCCTCTCGCTGGTCGCTGGTGGAGGTCAAGGAGAGCTTGGCGGGGAGCTGGCGATGGGGTCGAGCGGGTGGGCGCTGGGGACGCTCTGGTCGAGCGCGGGAACGGATGGTCTGCTAAGGTGTCGCGTAGCTTTGCGGGGAGCCGCGAGCCGGAATACAGCAGGTGGGAGGCCTCAAGGGACTATGGTACTGGTGGCGACATGAGGGTCGTGGTCATCGGACGGTCGTGCATGACGTTTGGCCGGGCCGGTCTTGAGCCTGTCCGTATACCTCTGCACACCGTCTGGGGTCGCATCGCCTTGGAAGCGCAAACTTGGAAGCTAGATCCCTCTGGTCCTGTGAGGAGGACATTTGCGAAGGAATAGTATGCATGCTGGTAGTGGGCGAGTGCTTGCGGCACGTCTAATTCAGGGAATTTAGACGCACATTGACTGTTCCGGCCCCGGGCCAGCGGCTCATCTCAGGGACTCGGCCTCATGCTTCAAAATCCTCAGTGCATCAAGATATGATTAAGATATGATGCCATCGCCCTCGCAGAAGAGCATCGTTGCGTCGAACTACAGCACATCTTCGAGCCCCTGATAGTGGTGCGCGTGCTAATATGCAGGATAAGACACTACAGATAGACCATGCGACTTGACACACGTCCTCATCGTGTTGTGTCAATGGGAACTCACTGACAAAGGTGGTTCTGGACGGGGATTACCCTTGGATCATGCTGTACATCGACAGTGGAGAGAGAACGGAACCGCGCGTAAAGTGACTCCGACTTGGGGTCAACTGGATGATCGCAGTCCTCCCTATACCCTCTTTGAGTCGGATGCGCGATATGAATGCATAGAATAGACGTCGCAGTTTGATGGATTCGTCCTTCAGGTTCTCATCAGGTAGAGCTCGGGAGCTGAGTACGCCGGGGGATAACGCATGCACAAGTCAGCATCTCACCAGACTTTGCTGTGGCACCCTGCATCACGAGATCGTATAAAGCAGATCATGCTATAGGGGTACCCTGCAGCCTTGCCTACTCTTGTTCCCTCCCGAAACAGTAGCCCGCGACGCAACAACACACCTCCTGTAACCTCCATGGCATCAGATCCCGAGTTCGCGGCTGCCCTCGCAGAGCTGCAGAGCGCAGCGGCGGCTTCAACCCCGAATCCTGTCTCTAGCAGTTCTCCGCAGGAGGCTATACGAGAGAAAATGCGTCAATCTACTAAGATAATGCAGCAGGTCCTTGCGAAGACCCTCCCTCCTGGTGCGCTTCTAGCATCCAGTCATCGTTCCGTATACACGCATCATGACTATGAGCGCCACATCCCCGTCAGAATCCGCATACAGCGTGGAAGATAGGTTAGTGCCGGTGGAGGGGGGTCAGATCAAAGTACGCATCGTTATCCCGACTACGGACGACGAGGCCAAGACGTTCCCTGTCCACGTCTGGATCCACGGTGGAGGTACCGATCCAAGCGAATGCCTTGCGAATATCTGCTACTCACTATCTTGATTCGCTCCATAGGTTTCGTTTTCGGCGATCTCGATAACGACGACTACCAGCTTCGCAAGATTTCCGTCGACCAGCAGATCGTCACTGTCAATGTCGACTACAGGTGCGTGTGCATGATGGCTGAATAGCATTGGCGATAATATAACAATCGCTCAATCTCCCCGCGTTCGTGACACAGGCTCGCCCCTGAGCACCCGTTCCCCGTGGGGTTGACCGACTCGTTGACGGCGTTGAAATGGGTACGTCGTCTTTCATGCCCCCGAGAGCCTCTTGCCGCGGCTCGTTCTCACTGTCATTTGCATGACAGACAGTCGAAAACGCCGCCTCTATCCGCGTCGACACTTCGAAGGGTCTCATCGTCGGAGGCGACTCTGCGGGTGGGAACCTCGCGACGTCTATAGGCCATCTCGTCCGCGACGACCCCTTCTTCGAGGGCCGCCCGGTCACTGGATTGCTTCTGCGAGAGCCATCGGTCATCCATCCGGCTGCTTATCCAGACGAGTGGGTCTCATCAAGTAGCCCGAGTGCCCAGGCGACCTGCTGAATGAGTGCTTTTTTGGCAGGCTTAAGGCAGATCTGTTGGCCTATGATGAGTACCAGAACACCCCCACGCTCACTAGGGCAGGCCTGCTGCAAACGAGAGGTGAGCAGCCGGACCAATGGGATGTGGACCGGATGTTTCTGACCATAAGGCGACAACACAGCGTGGCTAAACGCTCCGCCGGCCGACCCCCGCTACTCGCCCGTCCTCGCCCCTTCGCACGCCGGGCTGGCACCCGCCTTCATTCAGTATAATGAGCAAGATCCTCTCCGCGATGACGCCCGCGTCCTGGAGAAGCTCATACGGGAGGCAGGCGGCAAGGTCAAGTCTGTATTGTAAGTCTATCGCATCGTGTTCAGAACAGGCGTGAAGTGCTCAGCGGTGTTCTACAGTTATCCCGGTGTGCCGCACGCGTTCTACTACTTGGCGCCGAGCATCTCGCTCGCACAGAAGGTATGGCGCGACACGGAAGAGGGGCTCAGATGGCTTCTTGCCGGCGCACCTTGAGTAATCTGTGTGAGTCCCGGTGTGTCCCATGTTGAACTAGTCCGGGAAGTTGGCGATGTGTCTAACTTTCGTGATCGTATCAGCGTGATAATGGCGTTCAGTGAGGCGCTCGCAATCAACGTGTACCCCACTCCGTCCAGGAATTTACTGCAAGCTTCGAATAATACACCCCGCTCGCAACCTCACTTTGTAACAATAGAATACACTCCACTCATTCCGTCAATATACTTCTAGCGAAAGCGTCTCTCTTCAATCAAATGCTAGAAATGGAGAGTTGCCGAGACGCACCGGCTAGCATGTCTCGTCAACGCAATGCTATCCTTGATAGCTCAGACCTCATCGTGCACCCGAAGTGACATCTAGATGCGGCTTGGCTGTTCCCGAAGCTCGCCGTGTGGCTGTCTATGCTCAACGGACTGTGATTCGGCGAATGCAAATAGTGTAACAGCATGACTTGAGGAATCGGACCAGTTCATGCTAGACTGGGTGCACTGTGCACCACTCGAAGCGGCCTGAAAACGAAGCCGAAACGCGAGTTCAATACCGCACCGAATATGCAGCGTGTCGGGAATAGTAGCCTCAGGACCACTCACAGTTGAAACATAGCGACACTCTCGTCCTGCGCAACGTCATGCATCATACCCGTGGTACAGGACTAAGCACTATCGATAAAATATTGAGGATGGAGTTAGCTAGAAGATCGAACTCAGGTTCGGTCCAACATCAGCCGAAGGAACGTACCGAGTGATACAGCAAGGATTGTTCCTGTATTTGTCTATCAGAGAGGCTTCAACAAGTAGACCGAGCGACCCATTGTCACGGTACAGGGTATGGAAGAGGAGGGATTCGCTCGATTTGGTGAACTCTGTCAAGTTAGCCATGAGCAGCCAATATTGATTCCAAGCAGGCAGGAAGAAGTACCGTAGGTCGAGGAGCACCTCCTGAACGCGGTCAAGAAAACATCAAGCGGCCTCATGTGCCTAGCACCTGCCCTGACCGTACCATGTCAATGTTAACCTACATGTTTCCGCTCCAATGAACAGAGCACTGGCAAACTCCGAGCAAGCTTATACAGGTATACATCGCGCAAACCGTATGACTGCCAAGGAAGGACCTGCGTGCCAATTCATGTGAGACACACATATACAGTAACATACAATCACTCACATTCGGGGAAGGCGAACGTCCAAAAAACAACGATGACGAGAGCGGTCGAGTCAAACCGCCGTTCAGTCACGGCTACACGACGATAAGTGCTGAAGTAGACGTACCACCCCTATAATAGCGGAGTCGTAGAGAAAAAGCATCACGTATAGGTCGAAGTCCAAGATCACTGTCGTCCTGATAGACAAGATACCTGCAGGTACGAAAGGAGCTTCAGTAACCTCAACAGGGGTCAGTGTAGGCATGTGAAAAACTGACACTCCGAAAACCATGTTCCAAACCAATACAAGCCTGCGGTTTCTATGAATGAGTGCTCGGCCAATCAGGTTGAGAAAAGACACGTACACGAAGTCTCGGTATTGTAGGATGCATGACTTGGAGACCAGGAAAGAAACACACCAATGAGGGAAGTTTGATCATATCCAAGAGTTCGCAAACCTGGCGAGCGATCGTGCCCAGCCCCACCGTGAATCCATCGGTATAATTAACTTGCAGAGAAGACAACTTGTATAGCGAAGAACAGGATACCGCAAGCGACGTATTTAGTAGGGGTGAATGCCTGTTATTCATCAATACAATTTTCACAAAACTGATTGGTGCCGGCAACCAAAGCCCAACCTAGACGTTTGTCAATGTTAGTCTGTTACATGAACGGCCGACTTGAGAACGTGTATGAGCCTCATCTGGTGAAGTTTCTAAGATATTGAGGATCTGCCAGAGAACAAGCCGAGCCCTATGGCTGTCAGCAAGGGACAGCTGCCAGGATCCTTCACACCACTAATGTGATCGACATCACTAAGCGGCATGAGGTGAATTGATTTGAACCACGGCGACCTGACTGCTAGCGAACATACCTGTCGTGCGCCGTATCAATGCAACTGTTCTGTCAATTCTATGTCATGTAGTGTATCCATGCTTGTTATGTTGGAGTATGGTAACGGCGGGATGCAGATGGGTGAACGCCTCAGCACACGCCGAGACCTTATATTGGCAAAGCTCCTTCCACGATCATGGTTCCAGACAGGAAGAATGAGAGTGAACGTTGAACAATGCCCGGCGTTGACCGCACGAGTTGTTGCAGGTCGGGAAAAGGTTCGGTTCCACGCCATAGCCACCATTGAGCATGGATCAACGGCAGACCAAAGATATGTCGCTAGAGATCGATGATTGATAATAATTGGGCTACAAGGCAGAAGGATTCGACTCAACATCGGGAAACACGGGATAGCTTCTCCGCAGAGCTTCCCCGAGAGCGACAGCGAGGACAACTAAGCAAACCGGGGTCATCGTTCCTTCTTACTCTTCTTCCCTTTCGACTGCCTTCGCTCTTTCTTCTCCCGAGACAGCGTCTCCTCACCGTCCGAGACTGTGACTGTCCCACTCGCCGCCGCCTCCGCCTCCTTCCGTCGCCGCCTTTCCTCCTTCCGGCGCTTGCGTTCCGCTTTCTGGTCAGCGCCCTCTGCGTCGTCCGTCTCCTCGACATCTCCGGATGCCTTCTCCTTTGCCCTCTCCTTCCCCTTCTTGCTCTTCTTCTCTGTCTTCTCTTTCTTCTTGTCTTTGTCTCCCTTGTCCTTGCTCTTGGGTGGCTCCTCGACCTCTACCTCGACCTCAGTCTCGGGTTCGGCAGCAGCGTCCGGGGAGGGCGTCACGGTCGCAGACGTGAACATAGACGCGAACGACGTCCGCATCCCGCTGCCTATACCACCAAGCCCTCTCCGCTCCTCGACCTTTACCTCCTTTGTGACCTCCGCACGCAACCCGGACGCGCCTAAGCCCATCCGTGGCCGATCGTCGTAGTCGCCTGTCTCCGAGGCCGGAGTGCCTGCTGAAGACGATGGCCGGCTCTTGGCAGCGAGCTTCTCTTTGAAGTAGTCCATGACGCTCTTGCTCGAGACGGTCAACTCCTGCAACTTGAGACCGTCGGCGGGCGTTGCGGCGCCAGATGGATCGCTCGAGCTGGTGCTTGGACCAGGTGTGAAGGGGGTGGAAGGGACAGGGGTGGCGAGGAGGGAAGGTAAGACGACGGGCGTGACGGAGCCAGAGTCTGCGATACCAAGAATTTCGGCCAGGGCGGTGGCGGACGTGGACGCACGGCTTTTGGCAGCCATGTGCCGTGCGCGGAAGGCTGCGCGAGGGCTGCGAAGAAATGGTCACTCAGCACGCGAAGGAGAATGGTGGATGTAGGTGAACATCAGATCTCAGAGGTGAAGATGACCTCGTGAAGATGGGGAGGATTTCAGGGATTTGCGGACGCGAGAATGTGAAGTGACGGGCCAAGAAACGACCACTTACTGTCTGAACGGCACAGTGGAGCCAGCACGACTCGCCGGGACCGGGGAAGGCGCAGTGGACGATTCGGTTTCGAGGGGAGATGCTGCTCCTTCTCTATCTCGTTTCTTGCTCTTCTTCTGCTTCTTACTACTACTCTCCGAGTCGGAAGTATCACCAGAGGATCTGCTCTTCTTGTGTTTCTTCTTCCTACTCTCGCCCTCCTCCCCATCGGCGTCTTTCTTTCGCTTTTTCTTCGGCCTCTTCTCTTCATCCGGGCCTGCTTCAGCCTGTCCCTCTCCTGAAGCTATAGCGCCGCTCTCAGCCTCGACGGTTGTCATGGATGCTCCTTTCGTAAACCCGTCGATCTTCATCGGGGACTCCTCCGACTCCGCACTCCCGTTCGCCGCGTTCAGCCTGCGTAGAAGGTTCTCAAAGTCCTTGTTCTGCTTCCACGCAAGGCCCTCCGCGCTGTTCTTGTGGTCCGCCCCTATCCCTAGCATGTCGAGTTTCTGGTGAACCGACAGTGCCTTCGTACGCCCTTCCCCGGAGACACCGAGGCCGCCAGACGGATCCCACCCGAACTTGGCGAGGTACGCAGCGCCAAACTTGTTCGCATCTGATACGCGTATCGTACAACATGTATCAGATAATGAACAGAGCAGGAGACGAGAAAAGGCGCGGTAGACGTGAGAGGCAGGTACAGAAAGCGCACCATTTGCCCAGGCGAGATTCCGAGGGTCATTTGGAATTCGCTGCTTGGTTTTCCGGCCGGAAAGACCCATAGTAGCCGGCCCGTCCTAAGTAGGATATAGCAGTTGATGGTCGTCGTAAGATGAACCGGAATGGGAGAAGAGAGTCTGTCTGGCTGCTGAGCTCGGGCTTGTGGACGTTCAAGCAGAATTTCTGTGACCATATTCTGTGACATATCGTGACATCGAGCGCGGGGAACGCTCGACCCGAGAGAGCCGGTTCTCGCCCCCTCTGTCGATTACGCTCTCGTTCTGTGCATCTAACATCTACTCTGGAGTGTTTTCGTACCTGGTTATCCCCAGGAAAACCATGAAATACTCTTTTTGACATGCATGGCCGTCCCTCAACATTTGGCTCTCAGGGAACGAACTAGTCAAGCTCAGACTCAGCTTCCCCGACTTCTGTCACGGTGGCTTTGGAACCTTCGCTGAGGCTCTTGGATCCCACTTCAGCATAGTCTGCAACCCAGACTCCCGCTGAACCCCTTGTACTCTTCCATATCTGTCGTAGGCTGCGTCTCTTCTGCATCTTCATGCAACTGGACCTGACAATCATTGCACACCTTGACCGCACCTGACGCCCGGGACCGCCAGATACAGGAATCAATCGCGAGAGCGGAATGACTTCGATTACTCAGCACGATGCAGAGCAGAAAGTGCGTTCGTGGGGGTTTTCAACTGTCTACACGTGGACGGACGGACCGTGAGTAGCATCTTTTTTCGGTGTCTTGTGTGGCCATGATGCGTAAGGCGTCGGGTCTTGCCCCATTGAATGGTCGGCTCGCGTTGTTCACGTCACCGTGACTCCAACATTCTCTTCTGCGTTCAGTATGCGCCGCGAAGGGACCACGTTGCAAGGCCTGGCCTCTATGCCTGCGAGCATCTGAGCTTGGAATCTGTCCGCAGCCGGACATCTGCTGATGTGCTTGAATCTGTTCTAGGAACGCGCATTACCATCCCCACAGCCATGACGGGTTGACGACGCATCTCATCCTTTCCGGCGACTTCACTGTATGCTATCCGGAGGATGCCCTCGGCAAAATGGAGACGTTTGGCCCAGGGGCTCGTATCGACGTCCCTGCTGGGAAGGTACACGAAGTATGGATGGGGAAGGAAGGCTGCACGTATGTGATTGGAGAGTAATCCATGGAAGGGAGGAAGCAGTTGGGCTTCTGAGTACTTCGGTACGGGGACTCAGCGTGGAGCCTCGAGCTACACGCTCTAACGAAATACCGTACGTGCCTACCGAACGCTCGTGATACGCTGTCGTACCCTGATCGGCCGGTTTTTGTTCAGTGGACGATACACCTGTGTAGGTTACGCTCGTACGGAACGTGCGCCACCGGTGTGCCGAGACCGCGGGTACTGTTTGCAAGAGAAGACACATAGCTACCTTGAGGCAAAGCTAACGAGACATCGCCCTTCTCGTCTTCGCAAATCCTTTCGACCGACGCCCGTGCGCCGCCAGCATCCAAGGTATGAGAGTGAATGTTGGGATTATGCAGGTGTCATAAACACATGCAAGAGTACCTCCGCGAACGACAAGGACCCTTCCCCGACACCCTCCGAAGCCGACGATCCAATCGCGAATCTAAGCGTACAAGTCACATAAACCACCATGCCGACCCCGAAGCACTAGGAAGACTCCCAAGGGCGGCCGGAGGCGGCTTCTCAAGGATCTGCCCTTCGTCTAGCCCCTCGCCCTTTTCCACGCACTGGAGCAATCGTGGCGCCAGAATGACATTGAGCGCCGATGGGACGGAGTGGCCGACGTGGGGCAAGACAGATTTCGGCGGCGGGGAGGGTAAGGACTGCGTATCGGTATCGCTCCCCGTGGTGCTTGCGGTGAAGGACAGGTCGCCGCACTCCTTGTTCTCCATGATGGTGTCACTAGCTGGCGAGGACGGCGACTCGAACGGGAGAGGTGCGATATGCTTGCCGTTGGCCTCGTGCACGAGCGTGCGTGAGCGTTCTCGCTGTTTCCTGGCACGTGCGGCGATCGCGGCGGGGCGCGAGCGCCAGACGACGACGACGGTCGCGACGAGCATGGAAGTGATCACGACGAGAACGATGACGCCGCCCACAATGACACCTTACGGCGAGGTCGCGCGCGGAGTTAGTCCGGCCTCTACGCCTCTGGGGGGTTAGGAGGTCCTCACCTGGCTCGAGCTGGTCCATCTTGTCGTCTTCAAAGGAGTAGTCAAGGAGGTAAGGGAGATGAAGGAAGTATACATGTTACTTCTTACTACCTCCGGCGTCGTTTTACGCGTTGCTCATTGCGGCTGACCGTCAGCTCTAGGCTGCCCGCGTCGGGACGCGAGCAAGGGCTGACCGTCGCGCGTCCGAGCCGCGTCGGTTGCTGTCGCTCACGTGACCTTATGTTCGACTGTATGTTCATGAGTGCCTCGAGTCTTCCGCCCGTCTCCCGACGTGTCGTCGCCGTGCTTGTCGAGCTCCGCGCTGTACCTGTCTATGCGCACACCCTGATTGCTCCCGACTCTGCGGCTCACGCTCGGGCGCTCGGGGTATTTCCTCTTAGGCTCTTTGATCGCCGCCACCATCAAACGAAACCTTAATCCCACAACCGCGTACCTTGTGTAAAAAGTACATGGCGTTCAACGCCTTCGAGCCTCTTGGTCCTAGTCAAGCTTGATATGCAGTCCAGATATTCTTACTATGGCTTTGCCACATAGTATGCCAAATGCCCAAAAGCGCGGAACCCCGCGACGTACGGTAACGCATGTCGCAGCAACTTACGGCCATGTCCGCCTTCGCCGTTCTCATTCTAGCTGCGCAAGAAGTGCTATTACAACCTCGTGCATCTTTAAGGGGGTCGATGTCGTACAAGCATCACTCGATGTTCCGCTGAGACGTTGTGCAACGACATCGCGCAGATATATTCGCACGGAACGGCGTAACGCTACAGGGCTGCCGTCCTGCGGTGTTTCTAAGCTTGTAACATTTAGCGTGTTTTCTGAGCGCGCGTCGTCGCGTGATCATCTCCACTTTGCAAGGCGGATGAAATGAGACGGCAGGTAAGTTTCTGCACTGGCGTCTTTCATGATCCAGATTATGATCTTCCGGTTTTGATCATCTGTGGACGGAAATGGCGATGCTGGTCCAGTGCCTATTCCAAGACTTCCAATCTCTTCCGAATGTTACGCATGCAATTCCATTCCACCATGAACCAATGGGCAGCATATGGTCGTTCATTCTACGACATATGTACCCATGACAGGTGTCTCTGTGGCAGGTGTCGGGGTCGTGTATGCGGAATGCTGAACGATGACAAGCGTCTTTATCAGGATCGTGCTCTTGGTATTGCGTCAATCATAGGTCGGACTCCTCGGGGCTATGCGGACTGGTGAGAGCTGATGATTTTTGAAGAATGTTTTCTGCGTGCGGACTGACGGCTGCCGGTCAGCGGCAAATGGATGGTGCCTCCGCTACCCGGGTCGAGAGGCAAGATTCCCACTCGTCGGGCACATGGGGATGAGTTCCCATAGGAGCGATATAGGTAACGTCGGCGAGCGTGGAAACGAAGAACGCCGGGGCTTGCTCTTAGACCGCACAGAATATCAGGCGGCCGCCCCCGCGTTCCCGTCAACGCCCATACGCCCACGCCAGGCGCACCTACTTGTACTGGGCGCGTCCAGGTTGCCACGGCAGGGAACCCGCGCGAAGGAGGGAACCAGGTTCCAAGACAGACCACCACAAGGCCGATCGCCCTTTTCTGTCCGCCTGAACCTTCTCTACGGCTCGGGACCCCGCCACACGAAGCTTCTCTTCTCTGCTGTTGTCCTGTGGTCCGCTTCGTTTCGTAAAGTATTTACGTCCCGCATTCGCTCCCCGAGTACAGGTGATGCCCGCCGCTCCTTCGCTACTCCGCACTCACTCACCTTCCCCGCATCGTCCTCTACTACCACCTTGGCTGCATCTTAGTACGACCCGCGCGACTCGCGACCCAAGCAAGCCAAGATGAGCACAGAGCTGACCCCCGCGCAGCTCGCCACCACTGCGGAACATCTGTGAGTACCACTGCCAAAGTCTGTTTTTGCTTGACGGATGTGATCGCCGTCGATCCCGTCACCCTCCAACTTTTCCGCATGGCCCATTTCATACGCCTGGAAACAGTGTGCTGATCGCTGTGCGCATATCCCAGACTGGCAGCGAAGATGTTCTCTCTGGCTTCGTGCGGTGCGTCGTTCCCTTCCCATTATAGAGATGTAGGCGCCTGACTCCCTCGCGCGCACTCAGTGATGCTGTTCTACGACATCACGATCACCTTCGGGGACGAGGTGGAAAGGATATGGAAGCAGCGGTTCACGGGCGCGACCGTCCTTTGGTTCCTCGTGAGTGCTAACCTCACTCTGCTTCCTCTCCGAGATTCATGACCTCGACTGACCCGAACATGCTTGCGCTTCGTTGATGGGCACCAGAATCGCTACTTGTCGCCTCTCGGCTACATTGTCATCATTGTCTGTGCGTGTCCAACCGCGTCCCGAAGCTGTGTTAAGTGCGAGTGCTGATGCGCGCACGCAGCTTTCCAAGATCCTAACTGGTCCAAGGCCGCCTGCCAACACTACGTCCTCTATCCCGAGGTCCTCAAGGTCTTCACCACAACCGCTGTCGGCAGTGAGTGCTTGAGGCCTGCGCTTCGTGGTGTCATTCACGCATTGCACGGCGCGCTGACACACGTTTGCATAGTCATCTTCATCCTACGGTTATACTCTATCTACGCAAAGAGCAATACCGTCCTGTATGGGTTCACTACTCTCCTCGCTTTGGAGCTTGCTGTCAAAATTGTCAGTCATTTCCCTTCCTCTGTGACTGTTTGAATGGCCCGCAGCAGTATGGGACGCGCGTGCGAACGGTTGCTAACATTCCCTCTTGCATGTGTCGTCATGGACAAATGATAGTGGGCATTCACGGATGGAACCATGCTTCAGCTCCCACCAGGTGCGTACAACCGTGGATTCGGCGACCGTTTCGCTCCATGCCGATCGTTGCTACAATGTCTTGAAACTCACCGCATTCGCTTCGTCTGCGCGTCCAGGTTTCGTCGGCTGCATCTTGACAGGACGCTCAGCACCGTACGTGTCGCACCAAAGACGCTTCCGTGCACCTTGCGACGCCACCGCATAGCCCATCGGGGCGAAGCAGGGCCGCGAAGGCCAAGCACGATCTCCGGCGTGTCCTCACGCTAACATCTTCTCTTCTCACAGGGGCGACCGACTCATCTACACCTGGGTGGCCGAGCTTGTTTTCGGTAACTGTCATCTCGCGTTTGCACCCGAGTTCCATCATTCACACTGATCGCTCCACCCCATATCCCTTGTTCTCAATCACCTGTGCACGCACTGCCGCTCGGCGTGGGATGAACTCCGTCCGAACGCAGACTCGTGCGTGTTCTTCGCAACGCTGTATCGTACGATTCAGCTGTACAGGCGGACGGTCTTTGGGGAGGCCCGCTCGCTCATTACGGTGGTCATGCGTGATGGTGAGTAGAGCGTTTCGCCTGTTTTGGCGTCGAGGTTCGCGCGGGGTATGATGTCTCGTGCCGTCCATCGATGGTCTTCGCGGCTGTACCTGGCGACACCCTAAGAGCGTAGAAGGTGGCAAAGGCTGTCTGTGCCTGTCTCGGCTGGGTAGATTGAGTTGTGCAATTGCTTACGAGCTGTGCTTCTCGCGTCTCAGGAATCATGTACTTCGCGGCCATCTTCTTCTCAAATTTGGTGACCGTCTTGATTTTCATCGTGAGTCTTGCTATCTCTGCCTGACATGTACCAGGCACTGATTACACATGCCTGATTACCAGTTCGCCCCGGTATGTACGTCTCATGGGCCGGTGCACCACAGGTTGTGGTGTGATCCCTGTGTTCGACGCTGATTGTGGTATGGGGCGGTGGGACAGAACGACCTCAAGGTCATCAATGCGTCCTTCAGCACTCTGTTAGTCTCTTGTTTGACTCTGTTCGCGGTCCTAGCTGAGTTTCCGTACACAGTATCACCAGCTTGATGGTCTCCCGCCTCATGCTCAACCTACGGGGTGAGGTGCTCCGACGAGGCCCAGTCATGTCAAGCCATCATTCTGCGACCGGGATCGTGCGAGACAACGGCGCCCAGTCGTACCAGATGAGCTCTCGCGAATTCTCGAAGCCCGAGGCGGGATGGACGTCATTCACGTCGTCTATCGTCGGCAACCTCGGTGCTCCCGTCATCACGTTCGAGGCGGACAACAGTACGGATTACGAAGACCTCAACGACGACGACCTTGATTCCGGAAACTCATCCAAGTCTCACGACGCCCTCTCGCCCCGTTCGCCCAGGTCTCCATATAGCGCTTCTCCACCTTCGTACCATCCTTATCCCCCTTCGCCCGTTTCCCCGCACACGGCGGACCCGCTACGCCACAACTACGACGATCATTACAGCCACTCACGATACCACACCGAAAGCTCCGACGACACGATGGGCTGGACGATAGTCTCCATGACCGACCGGATCGTCGACCCGCCCTCCGCGCTCTCCTCGCCCTCCTACCCGCTCCCGCTCCGCCCCAGCACCAGCCCCGGCTCCAGCCCCCGCACGGTCTCCCGCCAGCCCTCCGCGGAGTCCTCTGGGGGCTCGGGCTCGGGCTCGTCCGCGTCGGCGCTCACCGCGCTCCCCCCGCGCAAGGCGCGGCTGGCGGGGATGAAGTCCCTGCGGCGCCCGCGCACGAGCGAGAGCGAGATGTCGGACCGGGACGTGGTGGAGATGATGCAGACGCGCTCGTTGCCCGCGCCGCTCGTCGTGCAGGTGACGGAGGAGGTCGTGGTCGAGGAGATGGCGGGCCCAAGCGGGGCGGAGGAGACGAGCCCCAGGAGCCCGTCGGGCAGGACGCGGCGGCCGTGGCTCGCGCCGCCGTCGTGGAAGCTCAGTCGGGATGGGCACTACGAGGAGGGATAGGAGTGTGCGCGTCGGGGAGAGCACGTGGAGTCCTCCCTCGGCTTTCAGACTCGGGGCCTGCGGACGATGTAGGCCGGATCTGCGCCTGGATCTGTATTCCTTCGTTGCTGCTGTTGTCGCCGTCGTTGTTGTTGTAGCTACTACTTATCCCATCGCTAATTCATACCCTGCAAGCTGTCTTATCGTACCACGCCGCACTCTGTGTGTTGAAGTATAGATGGATGCTGCACAACGAAATGTGCGGTTGTGATGATGATGTCCGTACACGTCTAGCTATGTTGTCTTCCACTGGATGCAATGTATGCTACAGCATGTCTAACACCTTCGTCGCTCAGATCGTCTCTGCACTCGGCCTTTCCCCTCTCCTCGCCCTCAATCGTCCACATCGACCCACTTGCCGTCCTCGTCCATCCGCACGTCGAACTTCCACTTGCGGTCGTCCATCCACTGGTCGCCCAGGAACGTGTCGTAGAACTTGACGTGGTAGTCCCCCTCGGCGTCCACCCAGTAGCCGACGACGCGCGGATCGGGCCCGAGGTATTCGTGTCTGCCAACCCACCAAGGTCCGGGGCGTTGGAGGGCGAGGTTAATCGGAAGGGGGCAGGGGGGGATCCGCAGGCCAAGGGCGCGCGCGCAGACGGAGACCCGAACAGAAGAGTCGGAGCGTAAAAGGCAGATGTTTGACGAGCGGAGGGGGCGTTGTTGCGGCGCGGGGAAGCGCGAGAAGCGGGGTCGGGGTCCACAGCGGATGGGGGCAGGGAAGGGAAGCGGATCAGGGTGTTGAGCAAGGCTGGCCCGGGGACAGAGAAGAAGGGAAGAAGGAAGAGCTTAATTACGAAGACTTGATGCGCAGGTGCGGAGTAAAGGCGGGCGAGACGGAGGTGCACATGCCGCGAGGGGTGTATATATGGCGGATTGCATGCCTCAGCCAGATGTTGTTGGCAGAAGTCGCGCTGGTGTGTTCTCCGTGTCCAGCATTTGCGGTGGCACCTCCACGACAAATGCACGTCCACATTAATCGTGCTCGAGGCCAAACATGTCCTCATTGACTCACAGCGGGAATGAACGTGCACGAGTGTGCGGAGCATTTCTACGAATGGCCTCCGCACCCGCACCCCCAGGTCCACCACAGAACGAGAGTTTTCCGGACTCACCTCCTCGCCAGGACCCCCTCCGCCGCAACATAGTTCGGACACCCGTCCATTGCCCTCCTCCCCTCCTTGCCCGTCGTCCCCTGCCCCCCTTCCTCCCCCACCTCCGCGTCCCCCGCAGCCAGCTTCCTCGCCCCCCGCGCGGCATCGACCTCCTCGCAATAGTGCCCGTGCACGAACTGGTTCAAATCCGCGCCCGCGTGCACCACGCGCACGTCGCTCCCGTGGCGCGCGAGGTACGTCCGGGGAAGGTGCACCCGCGCGCGGCGGGGCACGACGCGCTTCTCGAGCGGCCAGCGCGCGATCGCCCACGCCTGCGCGCGGCGGTACTCCGCGTGCGCCTTGAGCGCGGCCTGCTTCGCTTTTGCGTCCGGGGCCGGCCTGGGCGGGAGAGGGGTGTCTTCCGGTTCGGGCTTGGGCGTGATCGACATGTCGTTAACGTAGCAAACACTTGCGCGTGAAGGCCGGGGTTGGAAGAAGGCGGATGCTGATCTGGCGAGATATTCTGGGTGTCCAAGAACGTCGCTCGTGTGGATGTTGCAAAGACCCGTGCCGTTCTCTGGACAGATTCGTCGCTGCGTTTGACTCGTATTTGCTGCAGTCCACGTAGCGCCCGAAAGTTTGAGTCGCAGGAAGCGCTCGACGCATCGGGCAATTCTGTTGCCAGATCTGGACATGTACTGTATGTCTAGATTCGACGCGGCTTGGTAGCGTCTCGCCCTTGCGACACCATCGTCAAGGTCATCAACGATTTGAACGAGACATACGGCAGCAAAGTAGGTATGTAGTAGGCTGAATGTGCACGTAGTAGACATAGGAGGTCGGCGACTTGATGGAAGCCCTGCTGCGCGTCATAGTAGAGTAGCAATCTCCGATCTGGTCGGGAGGCCGCATGGAAACCGTGCGACTGCGACCATCTCCGCCGCCACGCCTGGCTTGGGCTCAATTGACGTTGGATGTTGAGAGAGATGACACAGAGGCTTCAATGTGCAACGTCCTTTGCGTGGGTGGCCGATGGCTGGGACTTGTCATTCGGCCGAAGAGATGAGTAAGGGGGCCAGAGTCATGTACGAGCTGTGACGTTGATAATCGTAGCGAGCTCCCGGCGGCACGGCTAATTCCCCATGGATGGATACACTGCTAAGGTTGGCCCAACGAAGATTCGACCCCATCACGTGATTATCACGTGAGCTTGCGAGGTCCCTCGCTGCTTTCCCCTCCCTCTGCATTGAGGAAAAAACTTGGATAGGCGGCATGTATGGTACCACAGAGCCTATAGCTCAATTTTATACGAGCCGATACCCCGGAATCGCAGTGGAGGGGCGGGACACGGACAGTGTGACAGGCGTGACGGGAGGTGTCGAATCTTCGTTGGGCCAACCTTAGTGGGGATAGGGGTTAACCGAGGAGGCGCGCGTCAGAGCGCCCGGCCTTCGCTTATGCCTCGGGGCTCGAATTGCATGATATCTACGGCTTGATTAGACGGCAAGACGGCCAAATGGAATGCTGGTGGCTGAAGGGCGGTCAACGTGTAAAAGAAAGATCTCTCCCCGAAACCTCCCATTATGACCGAGCAGAGTGGTGAAGGGGTATCTTAGACATTGAATGCACAAGTTCTCTTGTGGCGATTTTCAAGTTGGAGCCTAGTTCTCGAGATATTGTAAGAATCAAAAATCTACACGAGAGAATATGTTCTACACATCATTCCCTACAACTTTTGAGTGAGCATCCCAGGCTCAAAACGCGCTCAGAGCGCAAAAGAATGTGAGCGCTGTGCCCACTGGGAAGGGGGAGAGGATTAAGCGCCTCTCAGCCACCGACCAGAGTGGTAGTGGTCGCTGTGCCTTCATGTCCTACACTGGAGTGAGCCATGCTCATCTCGGCCAAGCGAAACAATTCACAATGCATATAATACTTCTTACACATATGTACTATGGTTTATCCTGCCTATGAGGGGAACAAACCCTTGGAAGTCCCATTATACCACCAAGATCCTCGAGAGCGCCTCATCGGAGTCGAACATCAAGGTCGGGTAGATGAGAGCGGAAGACTATCTCTGAGCGCTATCGTTATATAAGCAGAACATCGGCTAGCAGGCGCTGCCTATCCCCACTGCTAGACAAAAGGTGGTGGCAGGCCAGTGGCGGACATGATTGTGGAATTTCAGGTGGAATCCGGTGGCATTCCAGTACTCAACA